TAAACAAACTGTTAACACTGTAGAGGCTGCTGGCTGTGGTGCGCCTTAGTTTCTTTTTGTTTGTATTTTCTTGTTCTTACTCTTATTATTTCGATTTTGTTTTTGTTGCTGCTGCTGCTGCCTTAGTTTATGGCTACATGCGGTCGTATTGAACAGTGATCTTAAGCGCCGATTAGATTTAACCTTGACCAAGATGATAACAACAAAAAAGAAACATACACACAAAACACAAACAAGAATTACAGCCAACATAACAACTCACGAGTTATTTTATGCCTCGTTATAAAAATGCACTCAGGGGGCGGCAGCTATAGCCGAATTCATTTGTCTACAATTTTGAATGAATCCATTCAAGTGAAAAATATTTTAAAAAAATGTCTAAAATCGAAAAAATTATTGAAGTTATAAAAAGAATTTTTGAGCGTGTATAAATATAAAATAAATTTTTTATTTATAATTATTCAATTTTTTATGAATTAACTCCCTGTCTTAAATTCTCATAGACAGCAGTTAAATAAAAAATATATTAATATAATAGTTATATACATATATATTATTATTTAACAAATTGATGAGCCTGTTCTTTCAAAACTCTTGTGAGAGAAACAAAGACATAAATAAATAAAATATTACAGTTTATTCTGCCCAAGCAAACATTCAGCTGGCCAAGTTAACAATCAAAAGAGTTGCCTCCACTCGCGTCCGTCTAATGTTCGTGTCATGAATTTGCACAAATTATGCTAATTTCCGAAATTGCAAACCGCAAAGTGATGTTTGTTTTCTAACGATTTCTTTTGTTGCCCCCCGATGGCTGTCAATTTTCAATATTTGCAGAGTGAGGCAAAAGCTGTTGGGCTATTGTCAAAAGAAGCAAAAGGCAGAAGGTGTTAATTGTGATTGTAAGTTTATTGCAGTTCAGTGAACTCTGAGGCGGGGGCAGAGCTGCTGCAATGCCTGATATGATGGATGTAAACAATTGAACTTAAAAAATAATTTATAAATTATTGCTGATGTGTGTGCTCGTTATGTGAAATTAAAAAGCAATTAAGACACTGATGGGAAGACAATGCCGAATGGCAAATATTATTATCATCGCATCCGAAATCCTTCACAGCATTGCCAATCGTTTGCTATCAGTGCGGGGTGTGGCCTGAATGGAGTGGAGGTTAGCAGCGCACTTGGGCAGGTGCCACTTTGTTCGCCTGTCACACGGACAGACGGATAGACAGGCAGTTCGCCTGACTGACAATTGGACAGAGTTTGTGTGTGAAAGGCTGAGAGCGGTCTAAACATGTCTGGGATTGCGTTGAGTCTGTAATAAATAACGGCGCCTGTCTCGGCAACGCGCAACAAGATATAACAATCATGTTGTGGGTGATTACATAAACTAGACAGCCGGACAGCCGTACAGCCGTATAGCCGGACAACTGGACAACTTTATTTGCAGTCGAGCGCCCAAAAAAGCCAGCCGAACGCTGTGCGATTTGAAAGCAATTTGCTGTTTTCCCTGTTTGCAAGCTGATATTTTTACATTTATATCAAAACATAATTAACTAAGTAGCACGTGCTGCTAACGCACGTTCAATTAATTGAAAAAAACCTGGGCCATGCGAGGCATTAGTCTCAGCCCAATTTCAACACACACGCGCAGCAGCAGCAGCACAAATAAATAGTCTGGTAATTTATTAATTGCACTCTCGTATAAACAGCTCCAGCTGGACATATTTTATTAATTTTTTTAAATAACAACTTGTTGCATTTTCAAAATTACATAATAGTCGCCGTCGTCGGGCTGGCCAAAGAACTCCGCTCAACAATCCCAAATAAATTTCAGAGAGCTACATAAATTTCCAAGACAAAAACCAGAAATGTGCTTAAATTGCTTGAGAGATACCCTGTACAGAATGCTGCTACAAATATTTTTAGTTCTGCTAGCTGCTCTGTTGATGTTCTTATGAAATTAATTTTTTTCATGCATGACAAACAATTATTAACTTATTGCAATTTCAAGCTGCATTTTCCTAAGAGTTCCAGAAGATTGCCAAACTGCATGTGAGACTCTCAATAACATAAAGTTTTAACTCTGTTAAGTTCGGATATACAAAGAAATAAATATGACTATATATGTGGCAGCAAAGCCATGTACAGCTACAGCCTTAGATCAAACAGCATCTCTTGATTAATATTTATATAAATACATACATATTGCAGCCAACCAATCTACCCCCTTTTTCTCCATTTTCAATGAGTATGCCAAGCATTAAAATAAATAAATAAAAATGAACACGGCACACGCCCAAAAAAAAAACGTCTCAGCCTGTTTAAGCAGTCAGACAAATGTTGTTGCAACTGCCACAGTCGTTGTTGCTGCCTGAAAAGGCGGAACACATGCATATGTAGCATGTCTCTTAAAAAATTAAAATAAAATAAAATAATATAAAGAAAACCGAGCAAACGTTGCGCCTATTTGATGCCGATACGCTTGTCCCATGCACACGCCAACCAAATTATGCACACTCGCATAAATTATGACAAATATATATGTATATATATAAAATTCAAATATATATTTATTTCTTTATAGTAAAAAATAAATTTTAAATCTGTATTTAATTTATAGCCGCTCAGCCCTTCAAGGCATTCACCTGTGCGCGCACTGGAAACCCGCTTTCAAGTTGAATGCCAATTTCGATGGCTTATCTGACGCATTTATCATACGCACCGTGCGCCGTTAGCTTGTTGAAAAGCAGTCAAAAAAAAGTGCAAAAAATTGCATTTAAATGTCGCCAGTTTAAGCATCTCTCATAACTCAAATGGCTAGAGCAACTGCAGCTGGGCCACCTTTCTGATTGGCTGCAATTGGCGAAACGCACTTTGCAAATTTTGCAATTCAATAGGCGACGCGACGCGGCGGCATTGAAGCCGACTTCAGCCAGCCATAGTCAAAGTCGCAGTGGCAGTCATAGTCGAAGTCGAAGTCGTAGTCTTTGCCTTGTCATCAATGACAATTTGTTGCTTTGCAATTTGTTTTATGGCACAGCAAAAATGCTGCTGCCTGCGAGGACATTGAACTCTGGCGTTTCCTTTGACATTTGCAACAAAAATAAAGTCCGATTCTTAGCGCAAAATATAATTTACTTGAAGCTTTTAGTTAATGCATCAATTGCGTCGTATGCCATAGACATATTTATGCATATATAAATCAAGTTTAACCATTTCAACTGACTCAACAACGAGTCAGCGCTGACTCCAATTCGAATTCCAGTCACATTTCCGTTCTGCCAAGTTCGTGTTTTGGGCACATTAATAACACGAACTGCTAAGTAACTGCTGTAATTTATATTTAATATTTTAATTATAGCATATAGAATCGCAATGGGTATGAGCGTGGCCAAGATCTAATTGGTCCACAGAGCCGCGGGGCGTACTCGAGTGGGTGACGCTTGGCTTTATGAATTGGCCAAATGAAAATGAAAATGAAAATAAAAATAAAACTAATTCTAAATAGATTGCTTTTAATTAGCTAACCTTTGTCAAGGTTAGCTTCACAGACTATTTGGTTTTCAATTTTCTTGAACATTTTTTCATTTTTTCATTTTTATTTTGTTCTTGCTGTTAATTATTGCAATTACAGAGGCGATAAAATCCGTGGCACTACAACGTACAGAGAAACCGCCCAAGAAACATTCTTATCTAGATCAAATGTTTTGCATAAATTGTGCAGCTATGCAAATCGCTACTAATTTTTATGAGTGCTCTAGCCGACTCATTCATACCTGACTCAAAGCTATATTAAACAGAAGTGCATATATATTTCATAAAAAAGCAATAGATTAATAATAAGGCGCAGCTAGCTTGTGTGCACCTGTCAGAAGCTGTGGATGAATATCTGTTTGGCATTATAGAAAATCTAAGCTCTCAAGAAATTTAATTCTGTGCTTAATCTTTTAAACATCTTATAGAAGTACTACTATATACTGTTTGCATATGTATAAATAATATTATATTTACATATATAAATAAATCATATTGAATTTGTTGAGCTCACATTTGCTGCTAACATAAAAATCTACCTAAAGTTTTATTTAGATAAAGGAGAGACTAATTTGCATAGATACACAAATTTTTGTAGGCTACTGCTAATGCTTGAGCCACATCTAATATAAATTACTGTTGCTATAAATATATAAACTGATTATTACTTAACTGATTGATTAACTACATTTTACAGCAAAGACAGGCAGTCCAGAAGCAAAATATATATTTATATATTTATATATTTATATATTTATATATTTATATATTTATATATTTATATATTTATATATTTATATATTTATATATTTATATATTTATATATTTATATATTTATATATTTATATATTTATATTTTCAATTTTCAATTATAGAAGGAAATATTAGTTTTTTAATAAAAATTCCTCTTAACATATATTTATCTTTTTCATTATTTAAAAAAATCACTTTTATTAAAAAATACAGTTAAAAAAAAAGGAATATAGAAGTATTAACAGAATAATATAAATTAAAAAAAAATTGTATTTTAAAATTTTATAAATTTAATTTTTTATTTAAAAATTTTAGATATATATTTTCAATAAAAGAAAAAACATTTTAAAATGATTTATATTTCTTTTAAATTGAAAAACTTTTTTATTAATCATATAAAATATTATATAATATATTTCAGTCGAATTAAATGTGATAATATTCATTAAAACTTGAAACGATTAAAAAAATAATTATTTTAAATGAACTTTTTATTTAAAAGGTTTCAAGAGTTACGGCCACGCTTAACTCAATAACTGAGCAACGACTTTTTGTTCCACTCTTAGTACTAAAAACTAAATAGTTACTCAGTTCCAGTCAGTTTATGTTTTCTTTTACATTATTTGTAAGTTGCCATAAATTACGTCTTTCAATGTGGTCGTTTAAGAGCCAGGTATTAACATAGATTTTTTTAATTTCAAACTCTTTTACAGGAGGGCAGCATTGGTCACGATCTGGTCATTAAACCTTTGCCACACGAGCTGAGCCCCAACAAGGAGCAGGCCCATCACATTGTCTACAAGCGTGCGGCCTCAGCCACCAATGATCAATTGAGTGACTTTGGTAAGTATCCAAATGCTTAAGTCTTGATATATGAGCCAGAAGTCGGTGATGCTGCATTCGTCTATTATGATTTTTCATAGCATAACTTCTTTGGCCTTACCTTGGCCTGGCATTGATCCCCATCATGCGTAGCATATCACTCTTCGTTTGTTCCGTGCTTATCGGCAGCTGCATCTGCCAGTAATGGGCACATTGAACTAGAAACCAGCTCTAAGCTCTAGCATAAATCTGTCCGTCTGCGAGCCGTTCGGAGAGCGAGAGATCGACGTGCACATGATTAGCATTTCCTGTTCGCTGCTTTAGCGGCTCTTACAGTGGGTTCAATGCAAGACTTGAACTTTCGATGTCGCCGCTGAAGCCGGTGAAGTAATCGCCGTTGTCCTTCGACGGATGCATTTACCTTTGAGACACGCCGGTGGCGCCAAAATACCAACGCGTTAATTCAGTTGCCCTATAAACACGGCAAGTTTATGGATGGTATTTCAGCATTTACAATTGCAAAAACCTTTTCGCGGTGTCTTTCTGGGCGCTGCCTTATAATGAGCGAAAAATTAACTTTAAATACAGTTAAATGTACTGCTACCTGACTTGCTTAATAATAATAAAAAATAATTAAGCTATTGCATTGCATTTCATTGTGATTCATTAGTCAACCTTCGTCTCCTCTTCTCACTGCAGCATTCATGGAGCCAGACGATTTACTGGCTAGCGAGAAGCTCGAACGTCTGCAGCGCCGTCAGCATCGCAGCCGACGCAGCAGCGGCAACAGTCCCGACTTTGAGGACCTCAATGACGAGGACGAGGGCAAGCTGGACGCCGACGCGGACCCGGCCGAACCCCAAACTTCAGAGTCACGAGTGCGACCCAGACGCCAAGCCCCGTACGTCATCTATCCCGAAGTCTTGGTGATTGTCGACTATGATGGATATCGACTGCATGGCGGTGACAACCTGCAGGTGCGTAAGGCGAGGCCCACAGATGAAGCTGTCAATGATTGGGTTTTCCAGATTGGGCTTGCCAAAACTCAACACAGTCCCAAGCCCAGTCTGGAGATTTGTAAAAGTTGTTTTTTTGGCGATTGTCAGATAGAAGGCGACGTGTGTATGGAAGACAAGCTGCACATATTAATTGGGCAGCACGGCACGAAATAGAATATAAAGTTAAGCTAGCTCAGGTAATTGACAGAGCACGCAAAGCACCTCAGAAGAATTAAAAACCATTTTGATTCTAAATATAAATGTGGACAACTGACTTAATATAAATTGTGTATAAAGTGTCTAGGCGGCGCGAAGAACTTACGTTTGCTTGATGCTATCATTTGAATTTGGACGGCAGCAGTTGTTCTGCTTGGCTCTCGTCTGCATTTAGACACAGTTCTTAGCCGCGCCGACACAGCTGCTTTGTATGCACATCACTCACTCGCCGAGATTAATGGGGCTGCTCGACTTGGGTGCGATCTTTCATGCTGCCATAAGCGGCTTAGATAAAAGTTGAAACCAGGCGACAGCTGCAGCGTTTGTCGCTGATGAATGTGGGCAAAGCAGCTGCCAAACAGATGAACATCAGCTACAAGTTCTATTTTATATATATATATATATATATATATTCCATTTCAATCTCACTTTCAGGTTAAAAGATACTTCATTTCGTTCTGGAACGGTGTCGATCTGCGCTATCGCCTGCTGAAGGGACCCAGAATACGCATTAGCATTGCTGGCATTATTATCTCACGCGTAAGTAGAGTCGTTACACAGTCGTTACACAATATTTAACTTTCATTAAAACTAATTGAGTAATCCGCTTGCCAAGTCAACTCTGACCCCCAGCCAAATGGGGGGCATTGCAAATCGTAGCAAATGTCGGCCGCAGGCAAAACCAACCAAACTTTATCACGATTCGGTGGCCAATTGAGCAGAAAGTGGGAGAGACAGAGAGACAGAGAGAGAGAGAGAGGGCTATAGCAAAAACCAACAACATGCAACGCATGCGCTTCGAATTGGGATTCGGATTCGTTAGGAAAAATGTGAACAATCAATTTGGCTATTTGCTTGGGCCATAAACAAAGCAAAGCTACAAATTTTAACAAGTTTTTTTTAAGAAGTAAAATACTCGTGTGCAAAAAAAAACAATGAAGAAAAAAACGTTGCTAAATGCCTAAGGAATTAGCAAATGCCGAAGCACGCGAACAAAAGACTCAGGCAACGAACTTGCCAAGCAAATAGAAATGTGGATTGGCCGCATATGTGGCCAGCTGATTTGTTGCTGTTAAGGCTTGATTGTCATAATTCGCAACAACATCCTTCAACAGCTTAGTTATGCAGCATCTTCGAGCGCGCTTGCATAACGCGACCATAAAACACTCTCGACAACATTATTACCAAAGCTCGTTTTGACTTTCTTACACACAAGTCACAGTTCAGGAAGCCATTTGCCAAAGAGAAGAGCCTGCCAGCTGGCGACCCACTCATGTGTGTGTGTGTGGAAAGTGGAAAATTGGCGCAGTTTTTCCATGACTGGCACCTGCAGCAGGCAGCCCACATGGCAGCGGTTTACCCTAAGTACGTCAATTGCTTGTGGCCGACGCGACACACATGTAAACAACAAAAAATTGTTTTAGACAGCATAAATAATGCAGCAGCAACCACAAGCAGTGTCTGCTGCTGCTGCTGCTGCTGCTACAGCACTCGTTGTAGTTATGTAATTTAATGGGCAACTTAGTTGAGGTTTAGATTTCTGCCCAATTTCATGCAGCGACTTCCTCTTCTATACATCAAGATATATATATATATATATATATTTGTGTATATCTTGAAGCGATTGCATCCGTCGCTTAATGTTGCTTTGCGCTAATTAATGTTGAAATTTATTTTGCTGCCCATAAACAACAAATCCAAATGCGAATTTATGACACCAAAATAGTAGCATGCGCAGAGCTCAACTCAGATTCCGAATCGAAATCGAAGTCGGGCCACAGCAATTACTCAGAATTTATATTATTTGATATATCCGATAAGCTGCTGAAGTCTGTTTGCCAATATGCAAACGCTTAATGGAAGTGAAGCAAAGTCACGCAGTGCAGCTCAATAGAGGGGGAGCTGGGCGAGTTATCATGCACTTGTGTGACAGATTAAGTATGGCAGTTGATAAATGTGATAAAGAAGTATATGTAGAAGAAGAAGAATCTTTCGCTCTCTCTCTCTCTCTCTCTTTTAAGAGTGAGTGTTCTGGCTACTAATGCATGTTGTAATTAGTGCGTTGGGGCAGCTCAATCAATCACATTTGTTGTGTTTTGCTGGTTTTCCTGATTTCAGCTGTGGGCAATCATAACAAGTCGTAGCTTCAGATTTATCTAGACACACAGGCTGAATGAGATAATTAAATGAATTGGCGTGGGCAGCTTGCCGCTGTGTGTTGGGCTACCGTTGCACATGGTCGACCGATTGAACTTTTATCTGTGACATTTAATTAACATTTTAATTAATTGCGGGCAACTTTCCGTTAGAATTGAGTTACACCTGCCCGGGCAGGCGGGTCGGCTGCCATATCGTACGGCCAACAGCCAACAGCCAACAGCCGACAGCCGACAGCTGTACAACGTGTCGAACGTTGCGCTTGCGCCACAAACATTTTTCAATGCGGCGGCAGCAACGTTGCGTATACGCAATTTATTATGTGCGTGTCGAGCAAGAGAAAAAATATGGTGTAAATCAGTGTGTGTGAGTCTGTGTGTGTGCATTTAATATAGCAGCAAATTGTAATTTGAGCGCCGTATACTAACTGGCCTACACTCGATTAGAATTTCAGTTAGCCATAAATTGAAGTTTTTGATGCATTATTAAGTTGGCAAACTCAGAGAAAAAAACTAGGTTGGCAGCCAAGCGCCAACGTATTGTTGTCTCACTGGCGGGGCTTGGGGCACTCAGCCTTGCAGATATTTTGTTGTTGTCCCTGTGCGTTCGGTTCTGTTGTCATTTAGCCCGAATCGATTAATTGCGCAAATTTAAACAACACAAACATTTTGCACTTGGCTTTAAGTAATTCTGCTGGTCATTTGTCAGCGACTGATTAATTTATGTGAATGAATGTACTGAAATGAAAAATATGGCTAACATACTGGCGCAACTCCTGCGAGCATTGAGGTCAAGCTTAAATGGCTTTTCAATTACGGCCTTGAGTCGACCGTGTCGATATATCACAAAATGCTAACAACTGAAAGAAAGTGATTTGGACTCAAGAGACGCAGTTTAAGAATTTGCATTTAATTGCTTCCAATTGCCAAATTTGAGGCTGCCAATCAACAATCTCCACTCAGGCTTATCTCTGCGGATCTATCAATGTTCGCCACGGAAATGCTAAGTAATGCACATGGCCACACCCAGACCAGATCCAGAAACCCAACACACACTCGCACACATTTGAGAATTACTTTTGAGACTCATAACATATGTCATAACAAATTCCTAACTAACGAAGTTTCAAATTCAAGTAGCTGCCAGGCCTAGCCAGGCCTAGATCCAGGTGTTGGCCCCAGCTCATGTCACGAAGCGGCAAGCGGGAAAGCTTATCGCCAGTAGCTGCAAATGCAAGTGCCACAAAAATACACATAAATTGCGGCGGCAAAAGGAAAAGTATGCAATGCAAATGCTGGCTTGACCCACGGGCACAATATATATAAAACAAAATTCCAAATAATGTAACCCAAAGCCGACAACGCCGTGGGTGGTGTCCGAAAGTAGCCACCGGCAGTCGCCCCATTCCATGCCCCAAAAGCCAACTCCAGTGGACTGTGTGGGCGCAGCCGTTAAACAAAAGTCAAAGCGTTTGTCATTGCGCTGGAAGTAGGAGTTAAGGCTGGAGTCGGGGCTCTGGCTCTGGCTCTGGAGTTGGGTGGGTGGGTTGGTTTCGAAATGATAGAAATATAAGCGACTAGGTATGCGGCTTGACAGTTTTTCTTTGCCAAGATTTATGCGCCCTGTAAATTAAATTAAAATATTAAGTCGCCAGGCGGCAAGACTTTACATTTAATTACGCACAAAAGCCATTGCAACATTTTGAGACAGTCGCAAAAATAAACAAAACACAGCAAAACAAAACAAAACCAAATCAAACCACATCCATTTTTGGGAAAGGCAAACCGGTCTCCCAGTTGCCAGCCTGGTTACATTTTAGGTACTACTCGATCGCGATCGCATTCGCACTCGCACTCGCACTCGCTCACGTTTCTGCCAAGCTATTAACGTGAGCCACCCCAAACACAGCTCACAGCTCACAGCTCACAGCTCACAGCTCACAACTCGCTACGCGGGTCGTATGTGTAATATTTCTAATGGCTGCAGCCACACAAATTAGATTAGTTGACAAATCAGTCTTGTCTAATCGAATGAAATATTCGCACAGCTTGCAAAATATATTCCAAAATATATATATATATATATATTTATGGCGCATGCAAACCTGTGACATTTGGCTGACTTCAGCGCAAGCTTCAATTGCGTAATCCACCTGCCTTGTCTCAGCTTTCAGATCCCAGGTCAAGTCTTCTGCAATGCGAATTGCGTGTGCAGCAGCTGCAGAGAAACTCAGTTCAGACTGTTCGCTTCAAGTGTAGTTTCTTTATGTCATATATCTATATTTGATTGTTTATTTAATAATATAATTTTGGGAACTTATTTGAAAGAAACGTGAAATATTTTTATAATATAAAAAAGTATCTGATGCATAGTATATTTATAAGATAAGCTTAGTACAAGTTTATACAACTTTTTATTCAACTCATTTTGCTTTAGTAGAAGACCTAGAGCAAGCCGCTGCATGACTCTAGGTTTGCATGTAGCTAAAGTTATTAATGAAGGGATTATTTCCTTTAGAATAATATTTACTTTAGCAATGTTTCCTTTATAAGCTTCTGCAGTTTGCCTCAATCTTTCACAGATACTTTAAATGCTTTATAAACAAAACCTTCATTTGGTTGTATGTATATAAAGGTGGGCAAGCTAATAAGGTTTTATAATAATTCTATTAGCAATGAGACTTTATAAATTTAATAATATAATTTTTTTATAATTTAATAACAGATAAACAAATTGCGAAGGCGACAAGCTTATATTGTATATAATTAAAGAAATTATTGCTAGAAAAAATTGATCTTTATTAAATTTTAATTCCTTGCGCAAGATTCTTAAACTCCTTTAGAATTTCATGGCAAAGCCAAACTTTTAGATAAACAAATTTATTAGCAGCTGGAACTCCAGCTAACTGCAATATTCAATTGAAAATGTTCTCATTCATAGAGAGAATTGCAAAGTATTCAAATTTCAATACCGCCTTGGTCACAAGCCAAGCCTCTCAGCATTACATAAAGGCACACAGAAGAGCTCTTCCAACTAGCATCGATTTGGTATTTAGTTGCCAGAGATTAGCTCTGCTCCGCTCTGCTCTGCCATGAACGTTATGTGGCTCAAGTGCTCGTCGCTCGGCGAAGGCCTTCAGAGATGCGCATCCACTTCAATTTGTAATAAACTCGTATCGGCTGCACTAGCCAAATGAAGCGGAGCTTATGTATAATTTGGCATATAATTCGGTATAATTTCGTAACTTCGCCACATTCCCAGCAACGTGCGTCTAGCGTTGCCTTTTACCAAAAGCAATTGCCCAAGGTCGCCGTCGGAACATTTAAAATTCTTGATAGTTTTGCTCAGACGAAAAGTAAAAAAAAAATATTTTCGTAGCTTGATCTGGAGACGTGCCTGCACTAACAATTGATCAATCTGTCGAATTGTCAATTATTTAGTTGAAGATAAAAGCCACAAGAACTACAAATATATATATATATATATGTATATATAGCACTCGGCAGCATTTGAATGTGATTGAAACAATTGCCGGATCGAGGAAAAGATTTGCTAATCAAATGAAATTTCGTCATGAGAGTCTTGGCCAAGAAATTCTTGTGAATATATATAGATATATGGCCAATAGATTTATTTTGACTGCAGTTCATAAATGTCGTTAATACGAGTATTATAAACAATCTTGAGGTCTACGGGGAGAATATATATTCCAGACTTCTGAGTGAGTGGAGCTATATATCACAGGCACTGGCGCGACACTCTCGACACTCGACGATCAAGCGCAGTCAGAACGTATCTGAGTATCTTACGGATACATTTGTAACTTCCAGCTGAACGCAATGACAGTTAACTTACTTTTATCACCTGCACTTTGGGGCCTGTCGAACGGGTTCCATGCAGATTATGGCTGGGTATTAACATATTGATTAGCCCAGGGCCCGACATGATTGACAATTGTGTTACAATAATTTATGTAGCTGTCACGTCAAACACACCGAGAGATACAATAATAATTGCAACGCCCCTAAGTCACGATGACGAAAACGCTGCTGCCACAGGAGCCAGCCGTTGCCAGCAGATGCAACTCGAGCAGCAGCCAACAATTACATAACGCACAATTGCAACTAGTTTGAAGCAAGCAACGCTTCTCCACACGACTTTGACTTTGTCAGTCGGCACTTGCCACAGCGACACCATTTGCCATTCATGCAGCAGCCACAGCTGTATCTGTGGCGTCGTCGTCGCGTTGGCTCTTTTTTGTTTATCGTATCAGCCTCATCGCAGCCATCGCAGCCGGCATGGCACGTTTTTCACGTTCACTTGTTTCCGTTTAGCTGACATATTCCGCCATACTCAATTTAAATGTGTCCCCCACACACTCACACACACATGGCAGGCTTCCCTGGTGGCAACTGCAACTTGGTTCCTGCCTACGCTAAAGTGTTTGAACACTTTTAGCGCTGAGTGGGCCATAAATTTGGTTATTTCCCATTTGTTTGCTGTGCCTTGTCAAACGCTAAGCCGATTGCATAACAAGCCCAATGCGAGTACTTAAGGGGTAAGAGTAATAGTAATAGGTTTTTTAATAAAGGCTTAAACACTGGCCATAGTTGGCCATTTAAGCAGCTGCTTTTCTCTTCTTAAATTGTCACTTTTCAATTAATATTTAATAATAGATTCAGCAGAGTCATAGAAATTGGCTATGTGCGGGGCTATGACTGCCAATAGCCGAACTAAGTAAGCCTTGGTACTGCTCACAAGTTTTGGTTTATAATTTGATTGATCAAAAATTAATTTCCAAAATAATTTGAGCTATTGTTGATTGAATAATATGTTCCTAATAAATTAGTATTTAGCTCAAATTTTTTTAAACAATTTTAATAGAAGTATAAAATTATCTCTAGCATAGTAATAAATTATTTTCTCTGCACCTCACAAAATATTCTTTAACTTTTAAAATTGTCTTTGCAGGGTCGCGATGCCACGCCCTATTTGGAACGTAATCGTGTGGGCCGCGATGCTATCGACTCGGCTGCCGCACTGACCGACATGGGCAAATATCTGTTCAGAGAGCGTCGTCTGCCCGTCTACGACATCGCCGTGGCCATCACCAAGTGAGTAGAGGGCTGTGGCCGGCAGCCTGCTTTGCGGTGTATTTCTTGTGTTCTTGCAGATTCAGCAGCAGCAATGTTTTGTTAGCAGGGCCCCTTCTAGCTTTAATTTACTCTCTACCTTTTTGAAATTCTCCCACATATATATAATGTCTACTTATGCGCAGGTATGATATGTGTCGCAGGCGTAAAGGCGGCCGTTGCACCAAAGGCACAGCGGGTAAAAGAATCTATACCAAAAACTAAATACAAGATAAATAAAATATGAATACCAAAGACCTCACACACACCACACACACACATACAGTGGAACAAAATGTCATTTGGTTATTTAACATCTCAAAGCTGTTAGTTACAATAGTTTCTAGTTTGTTGCTACATTCTCGTAATTTGCACTAGAAAAAACACTTAACAAAGTTGCCTAAAAATGCGTGTGGGACTCAACAAAAAATAAACCAAAAAAAAAAAAATCAAATTACATTTACATACACACATCACACAAGCACACACACACAGACACACAACTACACAGGCATTGAGGTAAAAAAGACACGAATTTTAGTTAAATTCGAGGCGTTATTTCATCTAATTTGAGGAGCGGGTCGGCCATAAACCATAACCGGTTACAAGTCCATAGTCTGGCTTAATGCTTGCTGCATTTGGCTAGCTACATTTATATGCATAAGTTAATTTTATTTGTTTTCTATTTGTATTTTGACATTGAAAGCTATATACCTAATATTGTATTGGTCGAGATATTTATCTAATTTAAGGCCTAATTTTGGAAGGGTAACTGTTGCAGTTGTAACTTCTTGAGCATAACAGAGAAGTATAACAATAGAGTATAACAGTAGCATATAACAGTATTTGTTGTAATAATAAGTCTAGATAATGTTTTAAATTTTAAGGGTAACTTTGAACAGCTTTGGAGTTATAATTGTTCAAGTAGAACAGTCGCGTATAACAGTTTTGTAATAGCATTAAATACGTTCTATATTCATACTAATTACAATTCGAAATAATATTTTGCTTCTTTGTATAACAATTCTGTATAACAACTCGGTATAACAGTTCTGTATAACGGTTCTGTGTAACAGTTGGGTATAGCAGTTCTTTATAAGAGCCCAGAATCACAGTAGTATTTAAAATGTACGTATTATTCTTGAAATAATTATAAATCTTATTCTAAGTTTTGTATAACAGTGCAGTATAACAGAAACACTTTGTAGGTTTTAGATACCTAAGTCTTAGGTCTTTGGTCTTCTATTGTCCAACTGTAACTGTTCAAGTATAACTGTACAGTATAACAGTACAGTATAACAGTGTAGTATAACAGACCAGTATAAAAGCTAATTTTGGTTACCGCTTGTATTCTAGTGTTAAGTATGTTACGAAGTATGCAAGATTTTGAAAGTTTTTATTTTTGATAGTATGCAAGATTTTGAAAGTTTTTATTTTTGATATATATTCAAAATGGTTTCGATCTAGAAATTGATTTATTTTCCACCCACATATATGTATATATATATATATATATATATATATATGGGTGTCTTAAAGACTCCCAATTTCTATTACAAATTTCTTGACCCACCCCAATCACAGAAAATATCGAACTAACTCTCAAACCTTATGCTGTGCTGCTCCAACTATAGTGTCTGCTTTGCTTCCCCGGCTGCCCATCAATTGGGCACGCCCCTGAAAGACAAGCTGAAATCTATCTGAATCAAATTGAATTTTTGTATATATATTTTATATATGCAAACATTTTTGCATCTAAGAAACGAATCTATACTCAAATCCACGCATTTTGAAACATTTTCGCCCGCAGACTTGATATGTGCCGTCGCACCTCCGCATTTGGTGAATGTAATCGCGGTACCGCAGGTAAAAATATAACAACAACAACTACAACAACAATTTGTTCGCTGACAATGTACAGATAAATGCGAAAATAGCAACAAAAAAATAAAAATAGCATTAACATTAAAGGCGGCAACCGCCGAACCGAACCTAAAGCGTCGCTCCATCATCTAAAAATCAAGCCAATTTAATTGAATTTCATGCACGTCTCTCTACCTCTCTCTCTCTATGTGTGTTACCTGTATTTTCTGTATGCTCAACTCTATTCACATTATGTGTGAACTTTATAATTTATATGTTTTGTGTTTCGCACGTCTTTTGTACAGCAACAAGAACAACATCAACAACTCCAAAATAGGAGTTCAGTTCGAACAATGCGCCTCAAGCTGTACAGTTGCATTATATTCTCTCTCTCTCTCACTCTTTTACTCTGTATATATGTGTGTACATGTATGTATGTGTTTTCGCTCAACCTTTGCTTGCATTGAAAACTTTTCTACTTTTGATATTCTCCGATTCTCTGAACAATTGTTGCATATGCATGTCTGCATTCTAATGCCTAGCACATGCAACTTTTGTGATATATATTTATATATTTTTCTGATTTTTCAGTTTTACTTTTTAGGCAGAAATAACTGAAGCTCAAACTGAATAAGTGTTTATGTATATATAAAAATTGAAGATCTCTAGAACCTTAAGCTAATATCTTATAAACATATATTTAACTTTAAGCATATATGTATTATAATAATTTACTTTTAAGGCTAATGTTTCGTGGTTTTGAAGGCACTAACACAATTTGAAATATATTTTTGGGCTTGGCTGAAATTGTGACTAAGTTTTAGGCATTTGAACTAAACTCTTTAAATGGTTTCTGGTTTCGACATCTCCATCAAGACTAATATTAAACAATGCAATATAGCACACGCTTCAGACTCAGACACCGTTATATGTACTTGCATATTGCAAAGGCAGTTATTATATACAAAAAAAAGATAAACGCCGTTTAGGCCACATCGAAATTTCGAAAGTAAAACCAAAATTGCAAAATTTTAAGGCGGCTTTTATTTTCTTGTATTTAATAACTGCGACAACGAGCAGCAGCGACAGCCGCTGCTGGTTGTTCGAAATCGTCAACTTCCTGTTGACAGACCCAGAGCTAATTGCCTAATTTTCAACGATTTCTGTTTTTTGTTTCCCTCTCGCTGCGTCACACGAATGTGGCCCACAGGCTTTGCCTATGTTGGCGGCGCTTGCGTGGTCAACAAGCGGCTGGAGAAGGTGAACAGCGTCGCCATCATCGAGGACACCGGCGGCTTCAGCGGCATCATTGTGGCCGCCCACGAAGTGGGACATTTGTAAGTATCCCAGGCGCCCTTCCAGACGGCCAGACAGCCAATCGGAACTGTGCACGCTTTTTGCATACTCTCCACATCCAGTTGCACTCCATTAGACATATATAGCTGAAAAAGCAAATCAACTGCGCCAAATTTCCGGCGCTTGACCGCAACTGGAGTTGCAAACGTGTTTGCATTTCCGTTTGACATCATTCGCCTGCCAATTAATTAATTAACATTTTTCTCATTTTCCCGCATTCGAATTGAATCGACTTACCCGACTCAAATATTACTACGAATTCACATGCTACTAAAACTACTACTTAATAACTTACTACTTCAGATACTTCGACTACTACTAAAATACTACTTTTACTTCAAATATTACTGCCATAATTCACCTATTACAAATACTACTATTTCCACAAATAGTATTACTACTACTACTACTTAAATCTGCTACTACTTCTTAAATCTACCTTTACAAATACTTAAATCTACTACGACTACTGTTACTGCTGAAACCTACTACTACTACTATTACTACTACTACTTAAATCTACTACGACTACTAAAATTTATTACTAATATTACTACTGAAATCTACTACATCTACTACTGCCACTACTTAAATCTACTACTATTACTATTAAATAAATCTAAATTAAATCTAATACTACTACTACTACTACTACTACTTAAATCTACTACTATTACTACTACTACTACTTAAATCTACTACTATTACTACTACTACTACTTAAATCTACTACTATTACTACTACTACTACTACTTAAGTCTACTACTATTACTACTACTACTACTACTTAAATCTAATACTATTACTACTACTACTACTACTTAAATCTACTACTATTACTACTACTACTACTACTTAAATCTACTACTATTACTACTACTACTACTACTACTTTTTAAATCTACTACTACTACTTAAATCTACTACCAATACTACAACTGAAATCTACTACTCTTACTATTACTATTACTACAACTCATATCTACTACTATTATTACCATTGCTACCACAGAAATCTACTACTACTAGTAATACCATTCCTTCCACAAAGAGTACTCATACTACTAAAGTCTAGCACTTATACTTCATTTATTAATACTACTACTATTACTACTACTACTTAATGACAACCACTACTATTAATTCTACTACTACTACCCTTTCATGCAGATTGGGCGCCGTCCATGATGGCTCTCCTCCGCCCAGCTACCTGGGTGGACCAGGCGCTCAGCGCTGCCGCTGGGAGGACGGCTACATAATGTCCGACCTGCGTCACACAGAGCGCGGCTTCCGTTGGTCCGCCTGCACAGTGCAGAGTTTCCATCACTTCCTCAAGTAAGTACTGGCCGTAGCACAGCAAGATCCATCGCATCATTACATATGCCACTCGCATTGACAGTGGGGACACCGCCACCTGCCTGCACAATGCACCACACGAGGACAGCGCCTTGGGTAGATCGCTGCCGGGCACACTGCTCTCACTGGATGCGCAATGTCGGCGGGACCGTGGCACCTACGCGTGCTTCAAGGATGAGCGCGTCTGTGCGCAGCTCTTCTGCTTCGATGCGCAGACGGGCTACTGCGTTGCCTACAGGCCAGCAGCGGAGGGTTCAGCGTGTGGTAATGGCTACGTAAGTGTGCAGCAACCATTGCATCTGAGATAATTCCAACTATTTCAAATCTCTCTCTCGCTTAGCACTGCCTGGATGGTCGCTGCTCTCCACTGCCCTCGAACATAATCCCCGACTACGGAAACAATTACCGTTTAGTATACAAGTAAGTGAGATTTGCTTAATTCTGTTGAATCTATTTCGTAGTTGGTTGTATAAGCTTAGAGTTTTGATTCGATTTCCAAAAAGACTATATAAACTATGTATTTTTTGAGTACAAACAAAACACAGACACAAACAAGAAACATATTTTTAATATGCAAACCTTTTACACCTTTACAAATATCAACACCAACAACAACAACAATCACACATCGAACACACAATCTATATAAAAATATTCCAAAAAAAACTATAAAAACACCAAACACACGCACCTTAGTAAAATCAGCCAGACAAACAGCGATGCAAAGAGCCCAACAGCCGAAGACATTGAAAATAGTAGCGAAGAAATCGATTCAGAAGAGGCTGAGGCTGAGGCTGAGGATGAAGCCGAAGAGAAACGTGAGCAGAAGCGGGAGCCAAACGACACTAGTAGTGAGGAGCAGCAGGATAACAATATACAGCAAAGCTCAGCAGCTGCTGTTGCAGCTACGTCTGCTGCTGCTGCCGCTGACACGCCGACAACAACAACAAAAACGACGACAAAGACAACGGCGCGAGCCAAATCGTTTGAATATTTGCGACGACTTTTCAACACTGACCGCACTGATAATTTGGCATTACTCAACACTGAGACGGAATGGCTGCAAAATGGTGGCGTTATGGTTAAAACGCACACCAGCAGCAGCATCAGCAGCAGCAGCAGCAGCGGCGCACACTACACAACAACAACAACCACACCAAAACCAACAACAACAACAACAACAACAACAACACAAACACCGAATCTGTTTCAATTTTATACACATGAACTACGAAAACAAATCGAATACTATTTCCACTTGATACAAACACAACAACAACAACAACAACCACATCAGAATACGCCCCATAAACAACAACCAGAACAAACTGTAGTTACGTCCAATGAACATTTCTCAATACCCTTGGTACAAAAACAAATTACAAATTATAGTGCCACCATCAACAGCAGCAACAACAGCGGCGACAGCAACAGCAATGGCGCTAAAGAACATAATAGCAACAGCAACAGCAACAGCAGCAACAACAGCGAGGAAGCAAACAAGCGACAGCAACAGCAGCAGCAGCAGCAACAACATCAAGTTGATGCAGAGAACGAGGCCAATGCCGGCATTGAGATCAATGAAGCAATTGAGCGGCAAAAACGTAAGTTTCACATACAGCAACCCAGACACTTGACAACACTGCAACAGCAACAATTGGCAACACCAACAACAACAGCCGCAACCAGAGCAGCCAAGGCGACGCCAACGTCAACAGCAACAACAGCTGCAACAACAACTAAAGCAAAAACAACTTCATCGATATTCGATGCATATTTTAAAAAATTTCAAGCATTGCATTTACCAACACTGGACGGTGCGGTTACAGCCACCACAACATCGGTGTCCACCTCCGTTAGTTCGACAGCAACAAAAGCCAGCAGCACACAACAACAACAACAAAAACAGCAACAACAAAAACAGCAACAACAACAACAGCAAAACTTTGATGGCAGTCAATTCTTGAAACGTACGCTAAATCGCAGTAGTAATATAACAAACAAAAATAGTAGTAATAAAGTTAGTAGCAATAGTCATAGCTATAGTCAGCAACAACATGAACAACAGCAACAACAACAATTGACATCGCCCTCATATGTGACAAACTACATTGGCGACAATACCAACAATTTGCCAACGGTGTTGGACAATCAACCAAGCACAACAACAACAACAACAACAGCCATACAACAACTCGAACAACAGTCAGCAAATGGCAACACAACAACAACAACAACGCCTAAAAAACCTAAAATCAAAACACAAAAGCTGATACGACGCACACGAGTCATGTGAAAGCAAGCATAGAAGCAGAAAGGGCGTCGGCAACACTGCTGCTATTTCTACTACTACTTAATATACGTATACACAACATTTCAACTCTACCAACAACACTGCCAGCGCTACCAGTCGTAACTGTAACTCTTCGCATACCTCTTATACAAATACACACACACACAGTTACACACACATACAAAGTTAGAACAGATTTACAGTTACACGCACACATGCCTAAATTGTCCTCTCAACGTTCCGATTCCGATTTGTCACTTTGCTACTTCGTGCGGTAAGAACACAAAAGCAACAAAATACAACAACTTAGTTAATTCGTAGTCTAAAAGCTTCGCAAACAAATAAAAAAAAGGGAATTGATTCTAAACAACTTTTAGTGGTATTTGCTGCCTGCTACATAAATATTAATATATATATATATATATAAATATATATTATATTATATCATAGATATAGTCGGTTATTGAGGCTTACCAATTCGCATTCGTAATTGGCCATTTTAGTTGTAATATCGAAAAATTATATTAAGCATTTTTCGCATGAAACCATTTATCACATTTACAAACCAAAATAGTAGTATTTGGGCTATATAGTAGTAGCCCAAAAAATAAAATAAAAAAAGTAGTATATGCTTGAAACGTAGCTCTTAGCATGAAAAAATAATTATTTTTATGACCGCAGCTTCACTAGGAACTGACCATATAGTATATGATCGAAATTATATATGCATTAAATTCATGAAGCTGATTGCATTCGTCCCAGTTATCTCTCATCAACTCAACAAAAAAAAAAACAATTCATTGCGATTTAAATTCATTAAATTACAAACTCGCTGCGGCTCCTGCTCTCTCTCTCTCTCTCTCTTTCTCTCCACAAATTACATGCCACACATACATATATATATAAAGCAACCAATTAAGTCACAAATTGGTAACCCCCACACACACACACACTCGCAAACACACACACACGAAACATGCATCGGTTGAAACAATTGTAGAACTTAAGTAAGCTATTTGATCCATATTTTGGAACACATATTCAGTATGGCATGGCGTAAAATTCGACTAAACAATAAACAAATCGCATATTGCATACTAAAATAGCAACAATATCAATGCAATTCAAGTCCTGGAAACGCATGGAATGTGGAACAGTAAACAGTAAAATCTGACTTAATTCAAAATGGTGGCACATGGTACACGGCAAATCCACAACTACAAAAAGAAAATGGCGTCTGGCGGCGTCGGCAAAAAAAAAATAAGAAAAAACATTTGAAAACAAACTTTTCAGACACAAAACTGCAAACATTGCTCATTTATTGCACGCCTAACATTTATTACACTTTTATTAACATCAAATTTTCTTTTTGTTGTTCTTGTTTTTTTTTTTATTAATATTTATCTTGTTGCTCTTCTGTTTCATTGTGTGGCCGCCCGTTTAGTGGTTAACTGGAAGCTGTTTCCGTTTTAGAGCACTGCCAGCCGGAAATCGGAGGAAACGTCTGGACTTGGCTTGGTTACTGCCATTGGGAAAGTTTTAACAAAATACTTACGTATAAATTGTGTTTTTAGATAGAATTTTTTATATTATTATTTTTATTTTTATTTTTATGTTTTATTAATATTTTTAATTATAATTACTATTGATTTGTTTTTAGTTTTAGCAGAGACTAATTTAAAACAAAAAATTATTATTCTTGTTAAAAAAAAATACATCGCACCCAATCAAGTGAAAGTTCTTTTCTATACATATATGTATACATCTATACACTTTTTAAATGAGAAATTAAAATCTGTATAATATTTTGTATATAAAATATATGTTTCTGTAAAAAGCTCATACATAGTAAATGCATTCATATTGGTATTAAAAACGAAACGAAAACAAAACAAACAATTTGATAAATTATTCCTAAAGATTTCCAATTTTCCATTGTGATAAAAGATAATTTGTATGCTTAACTAACAAAATATATTTATCTTTTTCTTATTTTAGAAAATTGCTTAAAAATGTGTAAAAAATAAACAAACAACAAATTCTTTATTTACCTAGCCGCACTTTGCCTACTAGAAAACAATTGTAATTCGAAAATATTGTTGTATTTAAAGAGTAGAGAAGTTTTGCATTGTTAATGCGTTCGAACATTTTGAAAAATTGCATTACCTTTTAAGCAGTAAATAGTTTAATAATAATCATGAATTAAGTTTTAGCTGTAAACAACTGGAAATCATATCAAGTGAAACTGTACATTTATCACACACACACAACCAGACTCACACACACATACACACTCACACATGCACACAAACAAAAATGTAATTTAAGATATATACATATATTAAAATAAATACATACATATATAGTTTAAACGAATTTTTCGTGTTTTTTCTTTAGGCGGGCTAAATTACTAAACTTTATCGATGAAGAGATTTGAGGGACACGCAAAATGTCATCGCTGATTTGAAACAAATTGGTTAAGTTAGAAATGGCTTCACGATTCGATGAAAATGAATAACCGATAAGCTAATAATATCGATTATTTGAAACAAGCTTTGTTAGAGATGGTACTGAGCAATTGGAATTGAAACTGCTTGACTGTTATATGTATGTAAAATACAATACGAACCTATGGTTAATGCACAGTAGAAATACATATATATTTATATATATATATACTTAATGGAATCGGACATTCAACATTCTGACTGTTCTAGGCAAAAACTGATGTTATGAAGTATTATCACACTATCTTATCGTACATGTTTACTTTTGCAAGAGCATAATTTATAATAATGATTCGTCATGCTGCACTAATTATAGTTAAAACATATGTTTCGCTGTGTATTCAGAAAAGACCACAAGTGTTTCAGTTTAAGTACAAATCAAATAAAATGTATTAAATAATATAATGCATACAAATATAATTGATACGCATGAATGTTCTGTTTACAGGGTATCTCGTAGTTAATAATCCAATTAATTTCTTATAAGTCCGTAAACCATTGAAACTTTTAGTTGCACTCTCAGGAAAGTAAAAATAAATTTTTTGAAAATCTCTCGGCAAGTTTAACAGCAATCCAGACTTGTTGTTGCTTGTTGTTTGTTGTTGATTAGGCGCCCTTTGTAGGCAGTGGCAAGTAACGATTATATGTGACCAAGTTTTTGACTAAAGCAGCCATGGAAAGCAAGCAAACCATTCCAGCTGGCATCATCTTTCCAGATCGATTCCAGCGCGCACCCATTAGTCCAGCCAAGAATAGCGATGTTCCCAATTGGAGCAGCGGCCGTGGTGGATCTTGGGAGTTTAAGTGAGCGCCATAGCCAAGCAGCGCACCAAATGCAACGCCCGCTCCAAGCGAGGGAATGGAAGCTTAAATTGAATTACTTTCATGTTAACAAATGAAAAAATGAAAACTGAAGCAATAACTAACCAGCCTTCGCATAGCCCATTATTCCGCCAGCGGCAACTGTTGCAGCGTATACATAACCAAACCAGTCCACAGGCATTTTATTTTATTTTATTTTTTAACGCTTCTGATTGAGAACAAGTTTTTATATAATTACATGTTTATTACATATATATTATTTACTTACTTTTAGAAATTGCTAAGTAATTGCTCTCTTGTGCGTACCTAGCTCAGCTGTGGTTTTTTGTTAACACAGAAAAACAATGGGAATATAGTGGGAATACATAATAGTTCATTTTAGTAACTCACTAAAATGAGCTCACTGATCCAATTCATTTTGCATTAAGGCATATTGTACAGGTTCTTACCAATTAAAAATATACGTTCACAACTTTCATTATAATAAAAGCTCATCTAATATATAATATTTATTTTATTACATTCTCTAGGAAACAATTATGTTTGTTAATAAGCTTATACATTAATACAATATTCCCACAGACGGTTACAATTTATCGATTGTTTTTAAATATCTAGTAGGGCAACGAAAGAAGTCAATATTATAATACCTCGTTCAAGGCAAATAATAACTATTTGCTCTGTATTTTTCAATACTTTAGTATTAAATGTATACAATATTCGAGAATTGTTAGAACTGGAAGTCCTTTGTTTATTTTTCCCTGCAAGACAACACTGCACTGGTGAAAGCTATCGATATTTTTTCAATCACAACGCTACGAATGTTGGGAAACGTAAGAAAGAGTGTTAAAAACTAAGCATCCCTATGTACGCATTTTGGGGCGCATAATTTTCACCGAAAAAAAAACCAAGAAAGCTGAAGCTGTAGCGCTATTTAATTTAATAAAACATAAGTTAAAGCCTTGCTACTGTGTTTAGTAAGAAAAATTCAAAGTGACGTACATTTTTAACAAATTCTCTACGTACGAACACGCCATTCTGGCTTTAGTGCATTTGGTTATTGAATTTTCCAGTTGCACGTCGTCAAGTTGCGTCGGTGTTTTTGTGTAAAAAGTGCGGGGCGTGTTCTCTTTTACTAATAAAATAAAAGGCAAGCACTAGCAGCTGAAATCCACTTTGACCGAAGATATTTGCAAATATGAGTGACTTCCAGACGCAGCAGGCGAGTTTAAGTCAATCGCAGGCATTGGCAGCTGCCATACAACGTGCCAAGCAGGTAAGAAGAAGCAAAGCAAAGTATTGCCCTGAAGCAATCCGTACGTTCCAGCCGCAAAAAAACGCGCCATTGTTAACAAAACGAACTTTTTTTATGAATTGTTGTATTTGTGCAGATTGCAGCAAAAATACAACCAAATCAGCAGCAGTCACAAGGAGGCGGAGGTGGAGGCGACTCCAGTGGTCCAACCTCTGGCGGCGGAGGAGGTAGCAACAATTTTAAGCGACATAACGACGACGGCGATAGTGGACCAGATTGTAAACGTTCATTTGGCAGTCCCGACTACGGTCAAAATAACTCAAACATGAGCAGTGGCAGCGGCGGCGGCAGTGGCGGTGGGAATATGACTCAAGCTATTGCGCAAGCAGCCGCTGTGGCCGCTCGTTTGACTGCCTGGCCGGCATCCACATGCGAGGAGCAAGTACGCATACCCGAGAGCATTGTAAGCGCATTTGTGGGACGCAGCGGCAGTGATACGCTCAGTCATCTGGAAGCAGAGTCCGGTGCTAAGCTGGAACTGATGCAAGATCAAGAACGAGTGATAACACTACGCGGTTCCAGAGAGAGCTGTACAAAAGGACGCGAAATGCTTCAGCAGATGGTCAATCGGAATGGTGGAGGCAATGGCAACTGTGAGGTGTTGCTGACCATCAATATGCCACCGCCGGGTCCCGGGGGCTATCCGCCGTACCAGGAGATTATGATTCCTGGCGCTAAGGTTGGCCTGGTCATTGGCAAGGGCGGTGATACAATTAAGCAATTGCAAGAAAAGACTGGCGCTCGCATGATTATTATTCAGGACGGTCCTAATCAGGAAGTTATCAAACCATTGCGCATTTCCGGTGTGCCCCAAAAGGTCGAGCATGCCAAGCAAATGGTTTTAGATCTCATTGCTCAAAAGGATGCTCTGGCTATGCAACAACAGGGCGGACGCAGTGGTGGCAGCTCTGGTGGCGGTGGATCTGAACAAGGCTTCAATAACTTTAACAATGGCAACGGCGGAGAAAGCGTTGAGGTCTTTGTGCCCAAAATTGCTGTGGGCGTTGTCATTGGCAAGGGCGGCGATATGATACGGAAAATTCAAACTGAATGCGGTTGCAAACTGCAATTCATTCAGGGCAAGAACGATGAGATGGGCGATAGACGGTGCGTAATCCAAGGCACTCGCCAACAGGTGGAGGATGCCAAACGCACCATTGATGGGCTTATCGAGAATGTGATGGTAAGAAAGAAACTTAAATAGTTGTATGTATGTAGAAGAGGACAAACAGATAACCCATCCCATCTAGCTGGCTGTTTTGTAGAAACTTGACGTATGATGCTATAGTATATTGTGGTGTAAAAAGTAATTCATGAAAATCAAATCAAATAGATCAGAATTTAAAGTTTAACACTTCCTAATAACTTATGGCTTTTTTAGTTTGTCGCGTTTGTATAGTATATTCTGGTTATAACAGATGCATATTTGATCCACAGCAACGCAACGGAATGAATCGTAATGGCAACGGAGGAGGCGGTGGCGGCGGCGGGGGTAGTCAAGGAGGTGGTGATTCAAACAACTCCAACTATGGTTACGGATACGGCGTCAACCATGCCCAAGGCGGCCGCGAAGAGATTACGTTTCTGGTGCCTGCTTCTAAATGTGGCGTGAGTAGATATTAATTATCATTCACTGAGCGTAAGCTGACCGATTTCTTTATCTGTCACTCCAAATTCTAGATTGTTATTGGACGTGGTGGGGAGACGATCAAGCTCATCAATCAACAGTCGGGTGCGCACACTGAAATGGATCGTAACGCCAGCAATCCGCCCAATGAGAAGCTATTCAAGTCTAAAGGTACCACCGATCAGGTGGAGTCGGCCCGTCAAATGATATCTGAAAAAATCAATATGGAGTTAACGGTGCTTTCGCGCAAGCCCATTAGCGGCGGAGGCGGTGGGTCTGGTGGTGGTGGTGGTGCCAATAATGCCCATCACAATCAACAGCCCGGTGGCTACGGTGGCAATCAAATGCAGGGTGGCGATCCTAACGCTGCTGCTGCTGCCGCTTATCAGCAACAACAGCAACAGCCCTGGGGTGCCTATGGACAACAGGGCAGCTGGGATCCAGCCGCTGCTCAACAGCAGCAACAGATGGCCATGGCGGCAGGCCAGGGCCAAGCAGGAGCAGCTACTGGTGCGGGTGGTCAAGATTACTCAGCACAATGGATCGAGTACTACAAGTAATTTGCTACGATTTTCAAACTGAAAGAGCTTAATTACATCACATTCTTGTTTCCAACCACAGGCAAATAGGTTGTCATCGGGAGGCAGATATGATTGAACAACAAATGAAGGCAAAGCTGGCGGCTAATCCTGCGGGTCCGAATCAACAGGCTCCGCAGCAACAGCAACAACCTCAGCAGCAACAGCAGGCGGGCGGTAGCGGTGCCGACTATAGCGCACAGTGGGCAGAATATTATCGCAGTGTAGGCAAAATTGAGGAAGCAGAAGCTATTGAAAAGACGCTCAAGAATAAGGTAGAGCAATAATTGTATATTAAATAAAATTGAATTTAAAATAAATAACTTTATTGATGATTGTAGCAAAATGGAGCTGGCGCTGGCGGTAACAGCAATGCCTCTAATCCAAATCAAGGTGGTCCCAATCCCAGCCAGCAGCAGCCAAATGCAGCAGCTGCGGCAGCTGCAGCAGCCGCCGCCGCTGCAGCGGCCGGTGGCTATGCCCAAGGTATGACTCCTAGCCAATATGCACAATATTCACAGTATTATGCTGCAGCGGCTGCTGCGAGTCATCCGCAAGGGGCGCCACAGCCCCAGGGCGGCGGAGCTGGCGGCGCAGGTGGCCAAGGGGGTGGTCCACCACCTGGATATCCAGGTGGTTATCCCGGTGGAGCCTACGGCGGCTATCCAAGCGGCCCCACTGGCGGTCCCGGACAGCAGCAGCAAAAAACACACAAGAACGATAAACATTGAGGGGTCGAGACGAATAGCGGGTGCCTTGAAATGGTAAGTAAATTCCTCGAATCGAATCCAAATCGAACATCGAGATAGTCTGAGCTTCCTTGATTATTTTTGCTTTCTAATTTGCTTTTGTGCTATTGCCTATCTTGTTTATATTTTGATAAACACTTTGTGAATTTTTTTTCTAATATGATATACCTATGTATTTAATTAATTACCTGCAAAACTATGTATGAAAACCTAACATAATCTTGTTTACCATGCGTAAAACTCTTTGCAGTGAATCATTTGAATTGTTCTACTATCCTATGTCTTTTATCCCCAATAAATTAGCAAAAAATACAGTAATTGAAGCGCAAAGAGCTGAATGAGATGAATTATAACAACGATCGCCAACAGTCAAGACAACCATCAATCAATCAAACAAAACAGTCAATCAATCAATCAATTTGCACACAGCTTGAAGCGTCGCGCTTTGAATAATTGTAAATTTATTATATATATATATATTAATTACATGCCAATTACATTGGTTTTTTTTTTACTTATAATTTTACTCTAGATCTTAAGTGTCTTTGCCTGAAATATTAATATTCTATGACAACAACAACAACAAAAGAAAACAAAAAAGATACAGAAAATGCCAGCAAAAAAAGAGAAAACTATAACGAAATGCTATTGTTGTCCAGGTACATATACACAAATTCTGGGACAACATACAAATTGCTATTTATATATACATATATCTCTATCTGTGTATGTGTGTATATGCAGATCATTTCATGTGCATACAATTTCTTTCGTCGTCAATTTAGGCAACTCGAGAGCAGGTCCCGACAGCTGCCAACTAGCAAATAACAAACAAATGCACACGTAGAACAATTTCCACGTTGGAGTGTGTTGATTGAAAGACATCAAATATATACTACATATAACAATAGATATTACATATATATATACATGCATCTATATATATATGAAATTGAAATACCTTTTGATACCACAAAACGTTTCTCTCATACATTTTAACATACTTAGTCTTAATATATCCATAATAACATGACTCTATATATATTAATATACATATATATATTTATATGTATCAAATTAAATAATACTACGATCAACGTCTCCACTGATCTGGTAAGAATTTTAACCTGTCAAATTACCAATGGTCTTATATATAACTTGAACATAGTACAACAAAAATTATGTCCTAGAAATATGTTTTTTCGTGTTTTAGATGAAACTGGTTTGTTGATCTGATCATATATATTCTTTCCTTATCATATAACACCTTCTACTTTTCAGTTGAATTTTTATACTATATACTTTTATACTGTATTTGCATAGCCTTAAGACATCCTTTTGATTTCAGTTCGATTAAAAATTATATTTTGGGCCGCAGCCCAACGCAGACTCCTCCTCCATGCTCTCTAATGGCTTGTCCGGTCAGAAATACTTGGATGTATTACCTCCACTTCTACTTTTTGATTTATTTTTCTTTTTTCGGTAAGATCTTCAATGGTATAGAGATAAATTAGCTAATTTTGATTTCAATAATATATATTTATATCTATATAATATATTGTGCACATGCAAACGTATATGTATGTCGTTTCAGAGGACATCTTCAAACCAGTTCATAGTCGAATTCCCATACATAAACCAATATAAAAGAATTATAATAATACTAAATATATATATATATGATAATTAATGAGCAAAGAAAGCGTGAAAGAAACTTGGTAAGATCTTTTGTTGTTATCTGTGTATGTCTTACAAATCTTACAATTAAAACATAAACATAAACATTTTAATGCATAACGTAGGTCTGCAATTATGAAACATTATAAATATATATTTATATATATATGTATGCAATAACTAGCCTAAGTTTTATGTCTCCTTGAAATGAAAGAACTATTAAATATTGATGATAATGATGATGATGATGATGATGTGCACCCACTTTCCAATTGAGAATAATATTTGTATAAGAAAGTGGGCGTGTTGCAAGATTTACTAATCATTTTCGCAGCAGCCTTCGATACATTTGAATAAACACATAATATGACTATAATATATATATTTTATATTTATAATTATATTTATAAAAACCTGATATTACCAATGTGCGACGCACCATGTGCGTCGTATGCAATTTATGCGTTTCTATTTATTATATTCATTTTTTTTACTTTTTATTTTGTCTTTTCTTTTGTTTATGCCATATTTGAAAATCGTTTTTGAGCGTATTTTCAGAGGCGCTGAGTTGGATGGTATCTAGGGCCGGGATTTTGCTTTTCTGTTCAGTGTTGCTGTCGTTCTGATTGTTGGGTATGTAGCAGGTCTATCAATATCTCTTATATGCCTACTTGACTCTACATAATATGTATCTTACATTGACATATCTTATTATGCACCTGTACTCGTAATATTTTGCCGATATATATATGCATATATATATATTTTGTACATACTACATATATAACCATCCATACATATGTGACATGCATATATATGTATATATATATATTTCTCTATATATTTCAATAGCCGACCACAACACGATTTTCCCACGATGTTCAACTTCCCAAATGTAGCGTCACGTATTCGGCGACCTCAAAAGCAAAAACTATATTGAAACTTTGATTATATCGCTATTTACTTTATTATATAAAAAGAAAACTCGAAATCTCCACGATTAATAACTATATATTAGTATGTTCTTTCATCAGATATCATTTGTTTGCGATTTAAGCGGTTTTTATATATTATCCAAATTTACGAGTATTATATATACGCCAATATATTGTATATGTATATATATAAATAACTTTTATATTAATATATTGACAGTCGAATGATGTGTGTAGCACTACGAAAGGCAAAATTTGTTAACGAAGTCGAAATTTTGGATATTTTCTCAGACATTTCTCGCCTTGACTTGGCTTAGCTATGTTATTTTTTTCTTGGATCGGGAAGTTGTTTTTAAATTCTTTCAATTTTAGCTGACGACTATTTGATTATGTATCCCCGATTTGTGGTAAGTATATATATATTTTTTTTTATAGAACCCATTTTGAAACCCATTTGCGTTAAAGTTTTTGGGGCAATGTCAAACCGTTTATTTCGCAATCAAATGATATTTTTGAAATTGTATATGAATATATTTCTTTATATTTGATTTAAATTATGTGCTTTGATCTATTTCCAGGCCAATTGAGAAAAACAAAATCCGTTTATATTCTATTCAATGCATTTTAATATTTTATACCTAACATTCATTTATCACACGAAAAACGTAAACTAAAAAATCTTGTTTTTGAACTCCTCAAAATCACAAATTGATTCTTTTATCTGTATGTTTACAGCCTTATATCCACGTGATCCACTTACCAGTCAAATTGATATATATATATATATATATATATATATATATATATATATATATATATATATATATATATATATATATATATATATATATATATATATATATATATATATTTATATATTTATATATTTATATATATTTACCTTTGATCCTTCTTAATCATAAACTACATACATAAGTATATTGAAACGATTATTAATTTAAATATTGCCTAAATATTGCATTTACCAATTTATCAATTTATCTCAATAAATTACTATCTGAAACAAAAATAGAAACGGTTTTTTGTTTAAAGGTTAGCATAATACTAAACCATAAAAATCATGATTAAAAACAAAATAAATATAGATATATTTATAGATGGATCAACCATCAACCCACTAGTCTAGAATCACTCCAATTGTTTTGCCCAATCAAAAGAAAACAACGCATTTTCCATTTTATTTTCGCGCGATATATATTATTGATATACATACTTCATCCATTTTTATTTCCTTTGAGAAACATTTAAAGATAAAACAAAATATCAGTTTATATCTAGGCATCCAAGTGCGATGCATGTGATTTAAGGATAAGTTTAATTTCTGCTTTTTTTAAGGAGAGCGAACGTTCAGTAAATGTTTTTTTTCAACTGTTCGATCCACGTTAAACTCATTGTTCAAACTCTATATACTTCACATTTGTATATATGTATATATATACTTGTTTTTGTTTTGTTTTTTTTTTCTTTTTACTACAAGAAACGTACATTGAGATGCTTGTGTGGAGAAGTGCTTTCAAAACATTGTGTTTTGAATCTTGTAATTTTTGTTCGTTAATTATTTTGTTTAAAATGTACATACAACTATTTTGCAAGACTATTCTTACTATTTCGTTAAACATATATGTATATATATTTTTTTTCTTATTTTGGATGCGTGTGGTCTGTGGTGTGGTGTGTCTGCTCCGCTCTACAAGAGAAACCTGCTTTAGTTCTGTCTTTAATCTACTATCAAAGCCAAATTCAAGTGGAAACGAAATTATAAATAGGTGTATAATTATTATAACAATCGATTGACAGTTTGTTAACTTCACACTAACTTGACAATTCCAAGCTCCCTCGAACCGAAATTAAGTCAAAATCAAAAGATATATATCAAAACCTGCAACCATTCGTATTTTACAATTACTTTAAAATTCCTCAATTTAATGCTCGTGGATTTTTCTCTGGAATAATGCTTCCTATATATAGGTATTATTGTTCCAGTACATTCGCTTTACTTTTATTTTAACACCCCCTCAAGTCCAAATACTTTTATCATTTGTAACATAGACCAAAATCGTATCAATATTATCAATTTGGAATTTTTACTTGTTTTTCGTTTTAAGGTTTTCCATGCTTCATTTTTTTTTTGTACTGCTGCCAGTGTGTGAATTTTAGATATTCTTTTTGTTTTTTATTTATCCTCTTTGCTTAATTTAAAATACATAATTTTGAACGTCAAATCAATCAGCACTACATTTAAATGTATAAATCGTGTGTTTTCTGCTCTTGTTTGTATGTTTTTTACAATTTTCTTTTGCTATTTCTGTTTGTTCAAATTACACACTTTTTGTAGAGCCGTTTGAGAGCGCAGGTATTCATAAAGAAAATGAATATTAAAGTGATTAAAAATTACGTTTACATATATACATTATTCACATGCATATATGGGAAAAGGACATAATCCGTTTAAGGTTGAGTTTTCTTCTGTTTTAGTTAGTTTTAAAGAGTACAAATTATACGCTTATAGGAAAACTAGATATATTTCTTTGTTGTTGCAGCAGCTCTCAAAAAGTGGCCAAATTTGTTTGCTTTTGCGGTCGCTTGTTGTATTAATGTTGTTGTTGTTAATGTTATTTGATACAAGTTTTACTGCTTGCTGGCCCATCCCAAGGCTCCTTCTCTTTTGTGTAGTTTTATGTCGCAATTAACTGAAAAGGAACAGAAGATCAAACAAAAACTGATGACAGCCAGCAACTGCACCACCTACCGCTTTAACTGTGGCTTTTATGAAATCCTTTTTATCTGTTAAATCGAAATCTGGGTACTTAGCATAGACTTGTTTGCACACTGTTTTCATGGTAATCTCTTCGAGATTGGCCTTATCTAATATTTCTTTGACATAGCCGCGTATTTGTTCGTCCTGTAATCGAAGATATAAATTGTTAGTATGTTTATTATATACTTTAAATTGGGTGTTTATTTTACCGTTGGGAATGCCAATTTGCCCTTTTTGGTTAGTGGCTCATCTTCATCGGATTCATCTTTGTCATCAACATCTTCCTCCTCGGACGTTTCCTTCTTTGATTTCTTCGGTCGGCCAGCGGCTGCAAGTAAAAAATGTCCTTTTAGTAAGACAGTTACTATTCGATAGATAATGCTTTACATTTTCCGGCTGGCTTTGACTTGTTGTTGGCTTTGCTATTTTTCGCAGGCGTTGTAGGCTTCTTACTCTTTTTGGGACGTTCCTCCTGTAATATGAAAAGTACATTTATTTTATAATTTTATTACAGAACGCTTTAGATTGTTCCAAACAAACCTCGCTTTGATCGCTGCCAAATTCTGACAATTCCTCCTCTTCTTCATCTTCTGAAACTTCTTCTTCGTCACTTTCCGAGTCCTTGCGCTTTCGCGCCGAGGCACCTCGTCCACGTCCTCGTCTGCCAGCTGGAGCGGACGCAGCTGATCGTCCCCGTTTGCCTAAAGTTGGTCGCTTGCGCTTAGGCACCTGCTGGACAAAAGCGAATGCAATTTCAAAACTATTCAGTACAACTAAAGTTATTTACATACATCACTATCTGCATCTGATAGCTCAGATTCTTCTTCGTCTTCTGAATCTGAATTTCTCCGACGACTTTTGCGTGCAGGGCGCCCTCGATTACCACGAGCTGAGATCTTGCGACCGGCTCCAGCTGCTCCACCAGCACCTCCACCGCCACGCCCCGCGTCAGAGTCTGAATTTCCCGAAGGATTGTACTGCAAGATCATACAAATCATATTGAGTTAAAGGGTCTAAGGAACAACACATTGGAGCGACTTACATCTGAACCGGATTCGGAATCATCATTTCGTCTCCGCTTAGCCACTGTCACTTTGTGCTCGCTCTCCTCGGAGCTTGATAAGTCTACATATGCTGACATTTCTGCAAATACAGTAAAGAATATAAATCAAAGACTTAGTTCTAATTAGTATTTCTGTACTACTTACTTTTTCCCGCTGTTGAACGTTTTGGACGTCCAGTGGAATTGCGAGCTGAGCCTCTACCGGTGCCGGCGCTCGTTTTACTGTTCTTGCGTTTCTTATCCTCTTCGCTGGCAGCATCATCATCTTCATCGATATCTTCATCGTCCACCTCCTCTTCCTCCTCCTCACCCTGTTCAATACACAGCGACTCATCTGGCTCCATTAAAAATTTGAGCACTCGCGACGCAATCTCATCCTTGCTGCCTTTGCGATCTAGCGTCAGAATTTCGCAGATACTACGCAAGGATTTGTTATCCACCTTCTTAATGGATTCGTATTTCTTTTTGTATTCCGACGAGTCCTTGGCAAACTCAAACCCGGCAAAAGAACGCAGATTCTTTTTCACCACATTATTTTTTCCTTGTGCGCCAAAACAGAGCTGCATATTAAAACAATAAAAGATTTATTAATCTTGTTAACACCTGCTTTGAATGTTGACTTACCGAATGTAGCACCTGAAGACCATCCACTCGTGTCTTATTAATATTCTCATTAATGCGATCAATCTCGGCCAAAGCCACAACATTCTCATCATCCTCGGCCACCTCATTGTTCTCATCGAGGCCATCGCCTTCGCCGTCATCATCATCATCCTCATCTTGTTTGTCCGATTTCTCCACCTTGCCATTCTTGGCCTTTGCTTCATTTTTTTTAGCGGCTGCTGACTTGTCCGCTCCAGCTGAGCCTGACTTCGACTTAGCACCATCTGTCGCATCATTTTTCTTCTTCTCCGATGTGGCTGTTGGTTTCTTTTCCTCATCACTGACATTCTCGTCCTTCTCGTCTTCCGCTTGATCATCCTCACTTCCCTCCTCGTCCTCAACATCATCCTCGTCGTCGTCAGTCTTGGCATTTTTCTTAGCGCCATTATTTACTTTCTTTGATGCTGGTGGTGCTGGCGATCCTGCCTTTGTGTCCTTCTTTTCGTCTGATAATAAATAATTTATTAAAATAAACATTTACGTTTTTAGCTAGTTTAATTCGATCATTTTTCATTATTAATCTCTATTTTTTAAATTATTTGAACACATTTCAATTTGTATTTTAAAAAATATTTTTTAAATTGTATTCATGCTTGGGAAGTCCAATGCTAATTTGTTTTGGGAGCGCAAGGAACTATGAAAATTGAATTTTTAATTTACCTTAAGCTTTAACTATACCAAACCATATAGTTCAGGGTTTAGTATGAACAATAGCAAAGGATATATTCATTCAATGTTTTTTCTTTAAATAATTTTTATACAATAGTTAGGAGAGAGTTAGAAAGAAAATATCATTCAAAAACTCTTCTCTCTTCTTACACACCACATCTATTTATATGGGGGAAACACAGTTCGAGTTCGAACCCACGCCATACCGACATACGAGATTATACTCACATTACACACGTTCGTTCGCGACATTTTAGACAGCGGCGCCACGGCCAACGCAGCAACGAAGGCGGCAAGCGACGTAAATGTGTCGAGCGCGATGTTATTCGCCGCATTTTACGAACGCGCGCAAATTTCATTTTATGATTTTTGTTTTTCTCGCTCTTTCTTCACGCAAACATACATGCACGCACACATGCTCAAACCATGTATATGTATACACATGTATGCGTGCATACGTGTGTTTCTTTTATTTACCTGCATCCACTGTTGGCGCGGTCGCAGCCACTGCGTCTCCAACAGCTTTTTTATCAGCGACGTCATCACTAGCGGGTGACGCTGCTGCATCGATCTCTTTCTCAACATTTTTAGCTGCCTCAGTTTCAGCCTTTGACTCGATTACCTTATCAGCGGCATTTTCTTTGGTCGCCGTCTCCGCTTCTGGCGTGTTGGCATCCTAATGTAAATAAAAACAAAAGAAAAACACAGTTTTATTACACTGTACATTTTTGGCGCCGTTCACACTTAGGCACTACCACTACCATCATATTGTGCGTTGCTCTGCCACTGCTTTATGCGTTTCAGTTAATTTTTTTTTCAAATGTTTAGTGCACACACAAGTTTTCTTTTGAGCTTTGCGTTTGTGTATGCGTGTCTATGGGGCATTCGGCATTCACACGTTGTCCCGCTCACACGCACCGAAAACTAGACACAAGCAACATACAAACGCAACGACGCCATGTTTATACACATAAACGAATGGTCTAAGGGGAGAAGACCGATTTGTCGAGAGCAATATTTGTTGCGCTTTAGTTCGTGGTAAACATATTTGCACTGATTGGATTTTTTATGCGCGTTTATAACAAACAACTTTAACTTGATTTTAATACTATTTGCAGTATTTTACGTACCATATTTTCAATGGTTTTATCTTTTTTTTCGTCAGCCGACATGCTTTTGCTTATGTGTGTGGCGTTAGGGATGAGTAAATATATCGATATAGTTGAACTCGTGAAATCGATAATTGGCGGCAATGTATATTAAACCATTTTTAACGAGCATACTATAATTATTGAACTTATATACTAGTGGTTAAAAAATGTTTTTATATTTTTTAAATACGCTTTACCCAATTTGCGTATTGTAAATAATATTGAACTTAATCTCTTCAATATTTAAGTATCGATATACTTACAATATACACTGCAGTTAATTGACAATCACAAGAAGACGCGTACACAACATTTGCAACAAAAAGCGCGCGTAGAGCATTCGACGTGCGAAATCATATGAATAAACAAATCAAGAAACCCTATCAAAACACAATAAGCAATAATCATGGGAATTTTAGGTCTTTCAAAGCTTATTGCAGACATGGCGCCACTGGCCATAAGGGAAAGTGAAATAAAAAACTTTTTTGGTAAGTCTGCACCACCGGATTTTGCTCGGAAAGTTACAAGTAATTTCAATAATCTTTTGCAGGTCGCAAAGTTGCAATTGATGCCAGCATGTGTTTGTATCAGTTTCTGATCGCAGTACGATCGGAGGGCGCGCAACTGGCTACAGTAAATGGGGATCCAACCTCACATCTGATGGGAATGTTCTATCGTACCATTCGGCTGTTAGACAATGGCATAAAGCCGGTCTATGTCTTCGATGGAAAGCCGCCAGATTTGAAAGCCGGCGAACTTGCCAAGCGTGCCGAACGTCGTGAGGAGGCTGAAAAGGCACTCAAACTAGCCACCGATGCGGGTGATGAGGCGGAAATAGAGAAATTTAATCGTCGTCTAGTGCGGGTCACAAAGGAACATTCGAATGAAGCCAAACAGCTACTGAAGCTCATGGGCGTTCCATATGTGGACGCGCCATGCGAAGCTGAGGCGCAATGCGCTGCTCTAGTCAAGGCAGGCAAAGTTTATGCTACAGCAACGGAGGATATGGATGCACTAACCTTCGGATCTTGCAAGCTACTCCGTTACCTCACGTACAGCGAAGCGCGAAAAATGCCCGTCAAAGAGTTCAGCTACGACAAGGTGCTGCAGGGCCTGGAGCTAACAAGCAAGGAGTTTATTGATCTGTGCATTCTCATGGGCTGCGATTACTGCGACAGCATCAAGGGCGTCGGACCTAAGCGCGCTATAGAGCTAATCAAAAGCTATAGAGACATTGAGACTATATTGGAGAACATTGACACCAGCAAGTATACAGTGCCAGAGAATTGGAACTATAAGCGAGCCCGGGAACTGTTTGTTGAACCAGAAGTAACCGATGCCAGCGACATTGATCTCAAATGGACGGCTCCCGATGAGGATGGCTTGGTGCAGTTTCTATGCGGCGATCGTCAGTTCAATGAGGAGCGTGTACGCAATGGTGCCAAGAAGCTGCTCAAGTCTAAGCAGGCACAAACACAGGTCCGACTGGATAGCTTCTTCAAAACAATGCCAAGTACTCCTAATGCAAACGCCAGTGCTGCTGCCAAGCGCAAGGCCGAAGAGAGTAAGAAGAGTGCTAACAATAAGAAGGCGAAAACAAGCGGCGGCAGCGGTGCTGCACGCGGCAGAAGACCAAAATAATATTTCCCAACGAAAAAAATACAAATTTCTTTAATTTAACCACAAAATCATATTGCTACACTTTAAGCTTAGAAACTAATTTCGTAAAAATACAAAAACTTTTTAAGCTTAACTCTAATTGGTCTTCTTTGTGGGCTTGGTCGTGGATGTGGATGGGGATGTAGTTTGTAGCGAGGATCAGGTGGCCTCGCCTGCGACTACAGCAAATACTGCTTGGCCAGGGCGCGTAAGAAGCGCGATTTGCGGACCATAGCGCTCTCTCGTTTGATCTCCTCATTGTTGTTGGCATTCAGCTCCAAGGTGCCCATCATTGAGATCTGTGAACCAAGATCAAGAAATTAGAAAATAATGTTATGGATAGCTTGAGCCTTTATATACCGCCTCCAGCTTTCGACTGTGCTCGCCTCGTTTCGCATGCAGATTGACAATAAATTCGAGGAGCGTTGTATCCCATATGCAGCTATAGTATGCATCCATGGCATCTGTGAAATTGGATGACTTCTCGCTGAGATTCTTGAAGACAATGCCATAGTCGATCTCATCGAGAAATTGACACAGCACAGTGGCCTGCATATGGCAGCCCAAATTGGCGGCACACCTAATCATCTTCCTAATCACATAGTCATCGGCCACGTTTCGCTGCAACGGCATGGTGCAGTAGTCGGTACCGGTGACTAGAGCGTTCACATAACAACGCATCGCGGACTCATTGTTACCAATGGCCAGCTCCAGATCGCCCTTCATCTTTAACCACGAGATCGTCTGCGGATAGTAGCTGAGTGCCTCCGAAAGCAGCCACTGCAGCGTCTCACATACACTGCGCAGGCTGTAACTGTTTGGGCTGAAGAGAAGCATCAGAAATTAATTATTTATATGAATATATTTATAAATGGGAAACGACTTACTTGTTAATGCTGGTGGGCCAGAGTTGCATGTATTCGCAGCTCAGATCGTGGTTGGGATCATCCTTCAGTATGTTATGCATTTTGCCCAGCATGGATATGGCCAGCCCAAATACACTTTGATGTCGCACACGCTGAAGGAATGCTTGCAGCGCACTGCTGGCGCCGATGCCGGCGACCGTCGGTGCCGCCCGCTTGGGCACATTGAGGAACATGCTCAGCATCAGCTCCCAGGCATCGCGGCATACTTTTTTGGGTCCCTTCATCTTTTCCATTTCAATGAAGGTGGCTGCAAAGGCTAACGGCAACTCCAGTTGCTGTGCCCGCTTGTCGAGGTAAAGAAGTGGCGGAAAATCAGTTAGGTTAAGTAGCATGATGGCACAGCTCTCTAAAATTTCCAGCCTTGGCATCATTGAGTCGCCCGCCTGCAAGGCGCCCAGACATTGCTTGCACCGTGTGCCAAGCGTTTGCAAATCGAGTGGCTTCTGATGCCATTCATCCAGGCACTGCGTAATTTGTATGTGTAGTATCTCCCACGTTATCAGTTTGCACATCAACTGCGCACTGCCGCCCAGCTCCTGACGCTGTGTTTCGGACTTTAGCACACTCAGCATAGATACTGCGTCAATGTAGCTGCCACGTGCCGCCAGCTCACGTGCTTTACCCAACAGCACGTAACTGAAGTCTTGCAGGAAGCTAACTGGCATTGCCATGATTAAGGCTTTCAGCGGCTGTGGCACATCCCAGCTGGGATTGATGGCCCACAGCGGCTTACCAGGCGCCGTGCCACACAGTTTGACTAGGAGTATGCGCACGCTATTCGCATTTGTACAACTAATCAGCTGGCGCTCCAGGGCAGCAACGTCCACGCGGGTCACTGCACGAAAATGATTTGGGAGTCACAAATAGATTGACCTTACAATTCTTTAACTTACTTTTAGAGTGGCAAATCCAATCGTTCAGTGTGGCCAATGAATTGCTCAGCACAGGCAGCGATGCCTGTACCAATTGCTCCTTCAAATCCACTTGCTCCTCAGCCGAGAGTATAGGCATGCCGCGCAGCGTGAGCATCAGCTGTCGACTTTGTTCCGTATGCTGCTTTTGCTGTTGATGCATCACACAGTCAATGAGAAAATGCTTGAGGGCCGACTTTTCCGAATGGCTGCAGTACGTTAGTGCATCTTGCATTGCCTCCATGATGGGTGGCATGTAGTCCATGTCGTGATATTTCTCAAAATACTCCACGCTACCAAATATGTTGCCCCACTCGAAGACGGTGCGCACCACATTGAGGGCGGCCACATGCAACAGCAACTGTGGCATCTCTTTGAGCAGCCCCGTAGAGATGGCACCTTCAATGTCCAACTCGACGTTACGCCGGCTCACCAGTGGAATCTCGCGTGCACGATTATCTTGGCGCAGTATGGAAACAATGTCCGCATAGTTGTTAAGCAGGGATTGGTGGAAGCGTTCCAACAGCGTTTGCTGCTGAGCACTAATGCCACAAGCCTGCAACAGTCCCTCCAGTTCTTCGGCCCGCACGTGGCAAAAGAATCGCGTCACACCGACAGGTATCGCTTGAAGACTCGTGTTGCAGGCAGCCGCTGATTCGCGGGCCAGCACATACTGCTTGGTATGGAGGTAGTAATGGGCCAGCTCGTACTGAAGCTGGGCGCGCAGCTCTTGCGGCGTAATCAAGTGCATCATGTCGTAGTTTTGAGCGGTGTTCAGCGTGTCGCACTGCAAAGCCACAAAGCTGTCGTAGTGGAACACATAGAAAGGTTTGCTGGTTGCCGCCGGCGAGCACAGCTGCTCTAGATATTCGATGGAAGGCTGGGTGGGTGTGTCCAAAAACTGCTGCAGCTGATCAACGGTCTGGAACCTGGAAAAGCAAACAGAAAACGAACTTAAATAAAAGCTATACATAATATATTTCAGTGCACGACTTACATGAGTGGACGTGGACTCTTCAGGGCGCTGTCCTTAATGAGTTGCAGCCGAAGTATCATCCTGTGGTAGATGGTGAGTGCAAAGCGCGCAGCACGCTCGTTGCCAGTGGGTGCTGTAATACAGATTGATATAATAAAGGACACGCAGGATCTGCACGGAACATACAAATCTTTAAGTCGAAATCACTGAGAAATGGAATGCTGACGATGCGACCATAACTTATGGTGCACAGATCACGCAGTAGGCCCAGCTGCATGATCACGGGCAACCCTTTCTCTAGCGCATCCAAATCCCATCTCAGCCATGTGGCCACCTTCAGCTCCAATATCTTGAGGGCCAACTGTTTGCGTGTCAACTGCAACTGCTGCTGCTGCTGCTGCTGTGTTAAGAGCGGCACATTGAGTGCCGCGGAGGCTGCTGGTGTTGTGGCATTGGCGCCGACGCTGGCGCCACTTAGATTCTGCAGATCGCTGCCTGGCGTGACTACAGTGGAGGCTATTGCCGTGTCCGGCGTCATGCTGATGAACTGCATGATGAGCTCCACGGCGCTGGGTTCTGCAAGAATTTAGTAGCCAATGTCACATATGAAAAGTTGGGACCAGATTTCACTGTATTCACGTACCGGGATTTTTGCATTGCAAATGCTCTGTGATTTTATTCGGATCTAGCAGAAATTCAAACCACAATACTGTTTCTGCTGCCAGTGGCACTGGCTTGGGCTTCAAAGGGTCTTCCATCGTGTTGATAAATTAAGTCGCTGATTTTTCTTCGTCAAACATATGTTTTCGGCATCAGAAAACTTAACATTTTGTACAAATGTTATTAACAGCGGAAAATTTTCTGTAGTTTACATTTACTCTTCTGTCAAGCTTATGCCAGAATTTATATGAATGTTATTTATTAATATAATTTTTAATTATGACATATTTGACACTCGCACCTGAGTCAGATTATTAAAGAAAACATTTACGTATTTTTGCAGTTAACAGTTCTGAATTAATGTAAATCGCATCATCAAAGCCATAACATTGAAATAACAGACTACAACTGTTATTTAAATTTAATAATTTAGGCTCTTATATAGGAAAAAGAGCCTAAATAGAAAATTGAATTGAGTGACCGCATCAATTCATGCAAAATTTTTAAATCCATAATAATCAACGTGATAAAAAAAAAATTTAAAGCGAGGTGTCAACTTTCGACAATCTATATTGTTTCATTGTGACCACATATCGATATTTCAATATCGATTCTTTTCGGACATAGTCAATAGTTTTGTAACACTATTCGTTCAATGATACTCAACAGTTGCATAGTTGTTTTAACTACAAAATTCAAATTTAAATATAAAATTATAATTTGTTTTAGAGTTACACACTTTTATTTTAATTTTAATTAATACTAATAATACATATGCACACACATATGATTGAATAATAAGTTACAGAATGCGTTAAAATAAAATTACTGTCTTATTAATTAATATTAACTTAACGTCATAAAATTTATGTTTATGGTGAACATAAATCGATAAAAGTCAGAGACGATAAAACGGGAGTGCATGAATATGCCTACCCCCTCCAACATTTACACTTTTTTGTTCATTAAAAATGTAAAATAGTTTGAATATTTTTTGGCTGATTAATGCAAATCAGTTGAATTTTATTTAAGACGCCCATAGATTGCCTTTATGTGTATATATACCCTGTAGCCATAAAAATTGTTGAATATGGTATTATGAGGGATGTGGTAATGACTGCATGTATGTATGTATTATAAATGAATGTGTGTTTGCATATACTTATACAAATTTGTAATCAAGCGATGAGCAGCGTTTTTTATTTGTAGGATTGCTTCAAATGTGAAGATACATCAAAATTTTAATAATTAACTTAAATTTTGATTATTTTTAAATTAATTACCAGATTAAGCATTCCGTACAGGGTAGCTCTTTGTCGAAGTCTTAGGACATTTTTTGATTTTAGTTAGTTATGCACTGTTAAAAAATTAAATCTCAATTTTACATAATATTAATTTTAGTTTATACTTTGTATATCAAATTAAATCGTTTTTAATAATATTAAAAATAAAATTTCAAATAAACAAATAATATTATGAGAAAAAATATCATTAGGCAAAACTATCGTAAATTTCTCACAGTGTGAATTTATCTTATTTCAAGTTCGGTCTCGTTTCACATTAAAAATTAAAAAAAGTCTGCTTTATCTTGAACTTTATGAGCATTTCATAGCATAAGCTGCAAATAAATATTTAATGTTCAGGTGATTTTATGCAAATTATATATGCATACATGTGATTTTAATCGACTCAGAATATGGCGGTTTCCATTGTTGTTGCTTTTTTTATGACATTATTCATGCGCTTAGCTTAGATCGTGTTTGAGAGAGGGAGGACAAAAGTCAGCTAACCAAGCCTTTAAAAACTTTATATAATTAAACAAAAGCAAGTAAGAGAGCTCTGGTCGGGGTACTCAACTAAGAGATACCCTGATCCCTGTCCTATCTGCATTTTGTAAAACAAACATTACCAATATAAAAAATATAGAAATAGAAAATACAATTAAAATTCAAATTTTTGTTTGTAATTTAAAATTAAAATAAATTATTCTTATAGTTTTGAATACACAGTCATTAAATAATTTTTTCTTATTATTTATAATTCTTATTATTTATAGTTCAAAACATTTTTAATTTACGGCCCGAAAATGATTTACGTTTTACAGTGCAGTTAATCCAAAATTTGAATGACACGATCGCTGTGAATTATATTTTAATTTCATTTCAGAGCATATTAAAAATTGCAGATTATATATGTATATATATGTATTTATATTTAATTAAAAATGTTTAGCTGCTTTTGACATTGAAATTCATGGATTCATTTTTGGGGCCAATAAAAACTGTCAGCTGCGTTTAGAGTGTTTGAAATTTCAGTTTCAAGATTATGTAACTTTATTTAATTAATTTATTACATTGATTTATTAATTTATTACAAACATAAAGCAGCTCATCAAGGTTTCTTAGTTTGTAGAGCTAGTTGGTATTTTCCATCCCTAAATACATTTAATCAGCATATTTTGAAAATCTAAATCTATATATTTATTTAATGGGATCAAAGTTGTTTGCCAAGAATGTGCACACGCAGTCGATTTGCTTTTGATTATAAATTTAAATATATATATATATATATATATATATATATATATATATATATATATATATATATATATATATATATATACATTTTTTTTATTGTTTTTATTTAAATAAATTTAACAAATTTGAAATCTCATCTCGAACCGCATTAATTAAACGTCTCAATAACAGGCGCAGGTTATCTGTTCCGGCAGCACTTATGGAATTTTTGATTAGAACTGAAAGTTTTTGTCAAATCCAAATCGGCTCTATAGCATATGGCATATAATGAATGAATGAATATATTGGGTTGCCATGGGCCATGACAACCGAGGGGCGACCCAAAGCCAACTAAATTTATGCAAAATATGCCAAACTTTGCTCCAATGTGAATGTAAATTTCTTTTGTGTAGCTCGTTTAGTGACTTAAACTAAAGCACCTATAAAAATAAACTAATGAAAACGTTGAGCATGTCGGACTTGCAGATACACTGTAAGTATAGTTAGCTTCTATAAAATAGCAGTAAATAGGGAAAGCATATAAACAGAGTTTATATAGAGAGTGTATAAAAAGTGAGTTATAGTGAGATATATAGATATAAAACATATGGAGCGACTATATATTTATATTATTTATATATGTCTCAAATTCAGTCATTCAAGCTCTTAAGTGCTACAATATATTTTGAGCTTTCTTAAGTTTGATACCTATTTCAGTGACTTAAAGAAAATGGCAAAACTTGATGAAAAAAGAAATCTGAATAACGCGTTTAATGGAAGGATGTAGCTGGAAAAGGCGATTGCTCTAAACGTGGCAAGCTTTTGTAACCTAAACATTTTAAAGCCTCTAGCTCGAATAGTCTTTAACTTAACCAGTCTCAAGCTCTCAGAGTCTCTTGCTCCTACAGTCTAGCTTAATAGGTTCTCTAGCTTAAATAGGTTCTTCGCGTGTCATCTACTTAGAGTGTCTAGCTCTTTGAGTCTAACTAATTCAATCTTGCCCAAACTAAGTTATTCAAAGAGAGACTGAAAAGACTCTGGATAAACGAACTCAATTGTTAAAATACAGATTGAGTATATATTTGATGGCTTTAACTTTATGCGTAGCACAGTTTATGACAGAATTTTAATACCCCATACAATTGTATGGAAAAACATACGAAACTAGTAAAGAAATTCAAGAGGAGCTTCAACATTTTTATAGCATTTCGATAAGACCCTGAAAGATTCTATTGATTGAATCGTAAATTTGTTTTTTTTTGTGCTGTTTTCTTTTGTTAAGCTATTTGCATTTTATGCAGGTTGATTAGCTCGTGCCATTCAGAAATGTCAAACTATTCTGCATATTTATAGCTTTGGCCTAGCTATACGGAGAGCAGAAATATGTTTATCGATGGCTAACTGAGTGACCCAGTGAAATTCCTATTGTTTAAAATATTCATATGCTAATTCCACGCACAACAAAAACAAATAAAAAAAGAACGGATATCAAACACTATATACATATATATGCAGTGCTCACATGACTTTAAAAGAAAGGAAAAAAATAGATTTATATTTGTATTTAAAAAAAATGTAGTTAAAGAAAATGTCGCGCTCTTTTCTTATTTTCTGTTAATATTTCAAAATGTCATTAATAATGCCATAAATTAACTAAATTCATTGCTATTGCTAAATCTTTTACGTGCGAAGGCAACAAGCAAAAATAAAAAAATTAAAAATATACAAAAAAAAAAAAAACAAAAACAAAAAAAAAAAACCAGAAAAAAATTGAAAATGTTTTAAAAATGTTTTTCAAGAATTTCGTGTCTGTCGCCTGCTGGCAGGCGGCATGGAAACAGCGACATGAAAATCTTTCAACAGCAGTTGACAGCGCCACACACACACACAGAGGCATACACACCTACGCACACCTACACACACACTTTGGCAGTCCAGCACTCTTAGCTACTCCGCTTGGGGAGGCATCAAAAATCTTAATTTCTCTGACTGAAATGATGAAAATTGTGCCGAGGTTTTGCTGCCTCCGTGTCGCCGTTGATGGGTTTTGAAATGAGGCGCGTTGCTCGAATATTTCCACACTTCCTGGTGAAATTAAAACGACATAAGCTAAGAGCTCCAACGCACTCGAAATACTCTGTCTTGATGAAATTATTTGAAGTTGGAATTTTGTGAAGCAAGTGCTTGGAGACTTCGAATATCCTAGTTGGCTTTTTTGCTTAACATACCTTTTTTCTGCCTAGAATGAAGCTCTTAAATGCAACATAGCAATCCTTATGATGCACTCTAAACACCCTGGAATATATATATGGAATGCTATGTTTAATTCGATCGGTTAGGTAAAGCAAATGCTTAGGCACATCTTGTTTTATGAGGTACTCCAATTAGCCTAGAATAATATATCAATTTGATCTTTGGCTTGGGTTGATTTCGCTCTAAAGCAAATATTTGTTTTCTTGTGAGAACTAAGACAAACAAATTTTATTTTAAGCTGCACTTAAAACACAATTCTCAATACATGTAAACTACAGAAGTCTAAAAAAAAGCATGGTTTCTTCTTTAATATATCCTACTTTAAATACCCTGCAATATTCAGTATTCATTGCCATTTCACTTTCTCTTATATTTTATTTTGAAACATCGAACTCTATAGATACAAAATCAAAATTCCTTCAATAGCTGATGAACCCTTCCGCCTTCAACAATTTGTGCCAGCTGATATACCCTTTCGCCTAAGGGACGCATAAGTAATGAAAATGTCTTTGTCGCTGCCATGGTCTGTGGCCGTGTGAGTTTTTTGGAAAAGTTGTTTCAAAATGTTCGCTCAAATATTGTTCTAGACATTCGTTCGCTTTTTTTATAGAATTTCTTAGCTGTCGCCACAGTGTATATTGTTAAGTATATATACACATACATGCATAAGACATTTAGTGCGTGAAGACGTCGCATTTTGTTCTAATTTTGTGTCCAAAACAGTTTTTTTTTGTTTTTAGTTTTTGGTTTTTGTCGCTCTGCTCTGTGTTTATTGGTATCATTTTCAACGTAATACTCGCAATTAAGAGTTTCTATTTTAGGTAGGCTGCTGCCCCGGCTCCGGCTCTGGCTCCGACAAACTGTCGGCAGCGAACATTTGACAAAGTTATGCGGAATTTACAGATCGTGACTGGAGCAGCTGTCAGCGCACCAAATGATCCTACATCAAAATCAAAAGACATCAGCTCCATTACAGTCAAATTCGTCGTGGTATTATCTATTTCAGAGGACGTATCATCATTTGCACTCGCTTATACGAATAGTTAACGCCCTGCCACTGCACCCAGCAAACGCCGCGACCTGCCAGCGCTTGACCGTACTCGCCTCCCAAGTATTCGCCATTTAGATTGCTGGAAAAATCAATCAATATAGATGTCACCTTTGAGGCTTTGCTATCAGCTCTTACCTGTACATGCAGCTGTTATACCACCAGGCACCTGAGAACTGGACGGCGCAGTTGCTGGTGCTGTTGTCATTGTCGCGATCGTAAGTGCTGAACTTCGAGTACTGCTGATATCTGAGCGCATCGCCAGCGTTGCCTGAGTAGCTGCCCAGTGTATTCAGGCCGTAGAGATTCGCCTCGTTGCCAATGCCAAAGGCATTGTATTTGGCAAAGCGGCCCTGGCCTTGAAAGTCCTCCAGGTAGACGTACAGCTCATTGGGCTGGGCGACCGTCAGAGCATTCAGCTTATCGAGGCCAATGAAGAAGCTGCCGTCCAGCTCTCCGAAGCCCTGCTGATACGTGGACCAATTGCGAAAGAAGTTGAGCCGGGCATCGACACGACGCTGGATGACCAGCCAGCCGGTGCCATTGAGCGTAGCGTCGCAGTAGACATTGAAGGGTTCACCGCCGTTCAATTGAATCTTGTATATGCCATTTTTCTTGGCCTTAGCCTCCTTGCAGGAGGCAGGATACTTTTTGTACGCAGCTATTTGAGCGGTGGCCACGCTCACGAAGAGCAGCGACAACACAATGTGTAGAACTCCCATTTCGACAATCTGGCTCAGTTGGGCTACTTTGACTAAATAGTCAATTATTCGACTGTCCTCTTTATAGTTGGGGCCCAACTCATCAAGTTATGAATCATATTTCTGGCATCGATTAGATTACACGTAACTTCCTAGAAAAATAATTTAACACTTGATATTGTTGTGGGAGTAACATACAGAATTTATAATTGATAACTTATCCTAAAAAAAAGCACACAAGTTTCTCAAATATGTGCGAAGAGTCCAATGAAAACAAATGATTAGATTGGTAATTGACCAAAAGATATTATAAGGTGCTTGGCAGAGGCGAAGATGGAAGTAATTAGCGCTTTTTTATAGAGTGTACTTTTAGGTGTTCGATTAGTATTTCTCAATGCTGTTAAGAGCCTTGAGAAAACTTGAGGAAATATAGAAAGGCATAGGGCGCAGGGTGACCAAATAAGAGTGATACTATTTCCGATAACTTTATGTCAAGAGTCTTTTTAGTTATCGCTCTTTTGTAGCTCCTGTTATATAATAATATATATAATTTGCCATTATCTAAAAATTATATTTTAAGTCTAACTAACTAATGAGCTATAAATATTGAAGTAATAGCTCACCACAATATATTATACATCTTTTATTTAATTGTTATTTCTATTGCTACTACTCTTATAGAGTCAGCTGAAGAGCTGCTAGAAAATCAGATTAAGAGAAACTTTTATAGAAAAAGTCTCACTAAATAATTAACCCATTTACCTATAAAAATATATATAAACTATGGAATATTCGATTCAATTCTTTACAACTTTAACAATTAGAGTAATATAAAGTATACAATGAAATATTCTAGCTATGATCTTATTCAACTTGTTAAGAATCAAATACAATCCGTTTACTCTAAATAGCTTCTTGGTTACAATGGTAGACGAAGAGACCTCTAACGGCTTTGCAGAGTCATTTAAACTAGTTGGGTTTTTGGGTTCTCTCTAGACAGGTAAGCATTTAATTGTTTGCCGATTCACCTTTTGTACGCGTTGTATTGAACGGATCGTGCATCTCATCGAGTCCCACATGCCGTTCACTTCAACCACGTTTTACCGTTTACGTCTGTTCCATCAATAGTCGGTGTATACAGCAGAAATCAAAATCAAACGAATCAACGATCGATCGCCTCTTTGATGGTCCCAGCCAGCAATGACACACATTTGTCAAAACGAGCCCACTTCAAAAGGCCGTCGGAGCCAGACAATGTGGCCAAGTGCAGAGTAAAAGCAAAAACCAAAGCCAAAATCAAATGCAAAGGCAAACAGCGAACAGTGAACAGTAAACAGCAAGCAGCAAACAGCAAACAGCAACACGAATACTCACGAAACGGGAAGTTGGCCATAAAGGGGAACTTGGCTAACAAAAAGCGCAACAAGTGAAAGACAAATGTGCGGGCCATCAATTGTCAAAGTCAAATGCCAACAAGGCTGACGGATTTCCACTCATAGTGTGAAATTATTTCACAGATGTATTTTCTATACCCTACAGACAATTGGCCAACCATGAGGTATATATGTTGTCTTTCAATGTTGTTGATAAAGTAGTGACAGAAATCTGTGAGCGACAGCGCGTTCAACACTTCATCTGTTGTCTATGTTTTTTTTTTCGAAAAGGAATACTTTGAAAAATTTACTTAATTCAAATTTTAAAGTTTTACAAATAAATTTGATGAATTTTGTACTTTTATGCATAAACATAATATATATATTTTTAATTTTTTTAAATCTTTAAGAGTAGCTTTTGAGTTTGATACACATCTCAAAATTGTATTATTATGGGTATTACTTAAACCCTTTTAATAACCATAAAATATTTATAAAATATAAGATATCTTTACTATATCTACATAGATTTATACTTGATCTTTACTTATATTTTTTTAAGTCTTTATCAAGATGTCCTTAAACTATAATAAAATCAATCGATACATATCGATTGAAATAGAGAATCTATTGATTTTTAAAAATTTCTAAAACATTAGAGATAAATTCTTAAATACTTTAAGTTTAATTTTAATTTGTAAACCAAGCAATATTCTCGAATACTTCATTTAATTTTAGAGTATCTACTAGTCGCATATACTGGAAATTGAAATTCCAACTTATTGTTACGTACTTCTGTACTATACAAACGGTAAACTGAATCTTGTTACTGTTTTGATATATGTATATTTTGTTGAGTTGTTTAAAAATCGAGTCTATATCGACAAAGCATGCTCGCCCATATTTGACAGAGGTATATTGGTTTTGCTGTTTAAGTTGTAATTATATTAAAATGAAAATAAAATCCAATTTGAGATAATTCTTTTAAAATAGAAGTATTATCCAGTGGAGATCAGCCCAGAGCAAAGTTAATTGTTTTCATTCTTTTGCATTAATTTATTATGATTGCTTTTCTTTGACATAATAATAATAATATATTCTCATTAAATTCATTAAGCAATTTCATTTTTTTTTTGTTACTTTTGTAACTTTGTTTGTGTTTATTTTTGGCTAAATGCCACGCGCAAGTACAGAATAATTCGAAAAAATTGTAAAGAAAACTAGTTTCTTGTTGCTGACTGTTGTGTCAATATGTGTTTGAGTTGTGGAGCTGAAAGTACAGCTGGAAGTTCAGAAGAGTTGACGCCAGGGTCCAGAAAACAGCTGAACATTTAGTAAAGAGAAATAAAAACCTTCAATTTGCTTTTGCTTTATTGAAACAGTTGGCATCAGGCTGTTTTGCTACCAGCCGATGCCAATGCCAATGCCTTTTTACGACTGAACGCCCTCTAGAATTTTGACCTCCTGAGGACTCAGCGAATGTCTCCAAATTTGTGTGTACTCGCAATTTCGATTTCTCTTTGAATATAATAAATTGTTTATGAAATTTCGAATTTTAAGTATTTTTCAAGCGTATTCCAGCTTCGTTTTGGCCTCATTTAATTTTCTTATATTTTTCGACAGACGAAGATGAATTGAATTTAGTTGGTTTGTGCAGCTGTTTTAAAGCTGTTTGGTTATATATTTTGTTCTTTGGTTCTTAAAAGTTGTTGCAAACGTTTCCTATATAGAGAGAACTATAAACATTTCATTAACATTCCCCAATACACAGGCAAACAACAGGTAGCCAAACAACAACAGCTGCCAGCGGGGAACGAGTGTACTTATGTATCTGTATTTATATTTATATGCCCAGTTGTAGCTATTAGTCGCTGCGTCTGTCTGTCTATCTGTCTGCACTTGAATAAATCCTTCAGCAGGCTCGTCAAAAAGTGTTTAGCATGAAGAGCGTAAGTGGATTTGACAACTGTCAACTGCTGGCAGTCAGACCTGCTCGCCTCTTGCATGCTAATCACGTAATGTGTCTCTGAGTAGGGATTTTCTGAGCCAGGCACTTGACTGTGCTACCTATATACATGCATATATATATATACAATGTGTAGCCATCAATGTTGTTATGCCTCTCATTAAAACTCCATGCATCGTGCAGCCTTTGAAGTCTTTGTTTCATATGACTGCTTAGGCTGAGCAGGATATGCTCATGATTTATAGCCAAAGCTCCAAATACAGCTGAAGACGTTGAATTTGAACACTTCTCAGTTAAGTCTTGTTGTGGCACCGATAATCGATAACTTTTTGTATATAGAAAATCGATCATGCACATAGAATCGAACCTCAGGTTTTTGAGCAAGAAACAACATTTTGAATACCTTTAATAGATATACAGAAAGTGCTACTAGGTTGAGCTACAGGCACAATAGACTAAATCAGTTTAGACTAGACTGGAGCAATCTTACTTGTTCTTTCTTCATTTGAAACTTTGACTACCTTGACAAAAACTCCGATCTCACTTATCTCAGTTCAGATCTCCTTCTCAGTTCAATAAAAATAACTTTAATTGAAACTGCTTTATAATCAATTTAGCATACGTTTTCAACTTGAATTAAGTTCTTCCAAAATGAAAAAAAAAATATATAATGCTTAATTCCAACACACACACACACAGTATATATAGATTTTATAGATAGAAGAACAGGTGCGTATATGATAGTTGAAAATTTATGAAACTTTTTAATTAAGCCGCGACTAGAAGGCGGCTAATGAATTGACTGAAAGCGCATTGGCCATAAATTTTAATTATGCCCAGCGAGCATTTTAAGAGTCGACGGAACCCCGAGATGAAACAAATCCCAGCATCCAATACGCGCGTCATGGCTAAGTGTGTCACACAGTCAGCGGTCACAGAAATTATGTATTCAACAACAAAACACTAAACGAAGTTGAACCCAAGCTGCGATTAAGGCAGAAACAAAGAAACAGAAACCAAAAAAAAAAAAACAACATAAATTTAAATAGCCCATGAATTCTACTTGGCACCCTCGTCGATGCCTATCGATAGTCGTTGTCTCTCTGCCCCGATCGCTGGCAGGATATGCCAATGACCCCGCTCCTAGAACCAACCACCACAGAACCAAAACCGAGCTGCCAACATCCTTATCCACACACATTTCTACTTATGCTTTATACTATTTTCTGGATTTACTCAAACACAACGCTCCATTGGCCATGCCATGTCATGCCGGACCGGGCCGTGATATGCATGGTATTTAGCTGGGCTGGCTGCAGTCTGGGCATGGTTTGGTCAGAAGGTGTCAAATGACCAGCTAAGCGCATGACTCTCTACTTATGCTTCACATGGCCACAGACAAACTCTGGCGCTGTTTGTTTTTAATGTAAAAGTATCTCGAGTGCCAAACAGTTATCACACATCAATGACTACGAACTTGCTGTCAGACTGCTTGCCTAGCTCTGTTGCTCCCTTGTGTCTTAGAATAAGCTAAGAATATGTGCCGGAAGTGTGTCTTAATCAGGGCTAAGTCTAGGTTTGAGCAGCTATTTTTCTTTACGTTGCTTGAGTTCTGTTTAGGCGTAAATTTGAAGAGTGGCAATATGAAATTTTTTTTTTCGAAATTTAATTCCGTTCAGTTTTTCGGTTTTATATACAAAAAGGAAGTTGTATCAACAGTCGAGTC